TGGTGACTTTAAATATTTGCTCATCGTTGTTCCTCAGCTGTTTCTGTGTTTCTCCAGGCAGGATGATCCACCTAGCAGCAGTGTCATGCACAGTCTGGTAAGGAAAGCAGGCAAAGCAAGGTGCAGGAGTGTACTGCTTCGAAATGACTTTTTTTTTTTTTTTTCTTTAAACCCTGCTGGAAAATAACAAATTCCAGCATCTTGGAAAAAAGACAAAATACACAGCTGTGTAATAATGAAGCCTGTGAGGGCCTTGGATTGAGATAAATAGAGCAAGTCACACCTGTCAGAGCTTATTGCTTAAGCTTTTTGTAGAGAAGTGACAGGTGGGTTTGGGGTTTTTTTTTTGGCATTTTTAATGACGTAATTTTTTTTTTTTAAATGAAAGAACAGAATTCATGGTATAAGCAATAAATTCTATGGAAAATCTGCAGCTGTGGAATTACAGGGTACTGCTGGTACATCATCTCTGACCATATACAAGGGAAAGATTTAGTTTTATTTCAGTGTTTTGAATGATGACTTTGAACACTAGTTACATTATTCATTGTGGAAAGCTGCTTATCTGTGATATAAAGCTGGGGAATTTAGGCTGCATGAAAGATTTAAATATGTTTTAAGGAAAAACTCATGTTAAATCTGAAGGGAGGTTGAGTGTAAATTGCATACAGTTGCAGGACATAAACCCTTGGTTTTGCAGTTAGGTTTAAATTTGAATCAAACTGTTTTGTGGCTTTTTTTTTTTAATGTACATTTTCTCTCCTTATATCAGTACTGAATGTGTATGTTGTTAGTGTTATAAATAAAGAAACTTTAAAATCAGCCTTTACACAAAAATTCAATGACTTTTAATGCTTCAAGATATTTGAACAGTCTGCATGTTATTACATAAATACAAGACTATTATACTTTACAGATGTTTTAACTTAATTTTAAATCATAAATTAGCTTACTGATTTACTTGCAATTCTCTGTGAAGCTGTACTGTGAAGGCAAGTACTGTAATTTTAGGGAGATGTCACATATTCTTTGTGCTAAATAAACTATATGATTCCTGGATTTGACAGTAAAATTTTTACTCAACCTTGAGAATATGTGCTCTATTACAATAATAATTGGCCATATATACTTTTTAAAGCATAAAATGTATTATTGCATTGGGGTACTTAGTAAAGATAGAAATGAAGTGCTTTGAAAATGTTTTTTGAAAATAACTTAATTTTTTTTTCTACTCTCAGATTCCCACCCTCAACCTGGCAACTATGCTTGAGTTTGTTTATTTTTTATGCATTAATTTTATATAAAATGCCTTTTTAATTGTCATGGATGCTGGGGTAGTTGTTCCCCCTTTTGTTTCTTTCAGTGTGCCAAGTGTTTAGGCCTGAGGCAGGAAGCTGTTCAGCTTTCTTCACTCTCCAGTGTTGGGCTTAGAGCTACCATGTACTTTGTATCAAACCTATTTCATAGATTCAAATAAGTTTTGGTAGCAGAACTTTCTTGATCAGACAGATTCCTTAAAATCAACAACTTTTATTTGTTTAGCAATTCTAGCAGAAAATTGGAAGGTGTTTTAAAATGCCCTCTAAACAAAAATTTGCAGGAATATCAGTTTTATTTAAAGAATTGTTATCTTCTGGTGGTGGCCTACACCACCATCCTTTTCTGGCATCCTTTGGAGGTGTTCTATGCGACTGCATAACAAAAAGCTCCTTTGTCTCACGTGACTAGTCTTTTTAAAGCTGCTTTTGAAGTATTTTAATTGCGAAGACTACCACTTTGTACATGATGCCTCCTTTCCAATTAACATGCATAATTAGTTTAAATCAGGACTAGAAAAATATTTCTTATAATGATATAAACAACCTTGAGTGTTTGTGCAAGAACTGTCTTTAGGCTGCTTGCTTCCTGCCCCTCCCTGTATTCTCTGGTTTATGAAGTTCAATGCAGCTTCAGAAAAATATCTCAAGAGATAAATAACTGTAAAGTATTCATAGGTTATTTTAAAAGCTACTGCAAGTCCAGGAATAGTATAAGGCCTTTTTTTAACATTGTCATTAATTTTGTCAAGTATATAATCTTGCAAGAGAGAATTTTCCATTATGGAGGTTTAGATATTAAAAATTAATTACATTTTTTTTTCTTAAAATACATATGAAAGGAAAAATGATGATTCTACTTAAAAAGTGAAGTCCTAAAACAATGAAATTAAGTTTTAATTCAGTTTTCAGTAATGTGTGTGTATGTACATGTGTGAATTATAATATGATTTCTAGGTGTATAGAATTTTTAAAGAATTTTTCTTTTGTAGTACATGTTAGTTGATGTGCAGTTAATGAGGCAAAGATACATATGAATGAAACAAAAGGTCTATAACTTGTTCTCAATTATATAAATACATTTCTATGAGTTATATTGGCTCTGAATTTGCACCATTGTACTTCAAAGTAAATGGAGGTTTTCGGTGAACATCATGTCCTGCATGTGGTGAGTTAAGTGAGTGTCTTGCACATATTTGGTTTTGTTTGCCAGTTCTTAGCAAATAAAACCCTTGTTTCATAGTAAGACTAAACCAAATTTTCCTGATAGTGGGGATGAAAACCAAATTTTGAATAGCTGCTTTGGGAGAGGGATAAAGGGATTCCACCTTTTTTTGTACAACCTAACTAAACATAACAACATTGATGGAGAACAATTGCAGTGCTAGACTGTACTCTTTTCATAGCCAATGATGTAATGATATCTATTATAGACTAAGCATTTTAATCTTACCAAACTTTAACAACTTAGTCGTATTGTTATATGTCATATATGCTAGGGTTGGAAGAATTTTCTCGCTCACTTTTTTTACTGCAACTCTTGTCAATGGTGTTTCAAGTGTTAGAATTGCCCATGTAGGGAAGTACCTACTGGCTATAGGGAGCTGCCAAGGCTGGGAGGAATCTCAGAACCTGAGATATGCAGTCATCTTCTCTCTGTTCTCCTTACAGTGACCCATAATGCTTGGGAGCTAAGTTGGCTATTTATGCAGCATTTTGCATATTAGACTTCTGAAGATGTATGCTGGGTACACTTTACCAAATATAGCAAACTTCTCATACAGCTGAAGGAGAGTGATGGAATCTTTGGATTGTGTCTGTGTTGTGACTGTTGTATGAGATGCTTGACCTAGAGAGTCATGTACTTCCCCCCCACCCTGGTATTGGTTCGCTTTACAGTTCTCTCTTGCATATGAATTTTTACAGCTATCAGGGTTACCAAATAACGATGTATTCAGCTCATTATCATATTCAGCTATGCTATCAAACTTCTCTTATGTTTTTGGAAAAAGTTTTAAAAGATTTTTTTTGATGGATTTCACAGCCTTGAAAAGCAATGCTTATTACTTTCAACTATAAGAAAAGGCAGTCAGTTGTTTCTCTAAAACTGTAAGGAGCTACTGCTGTTAGTTACATGAAATCATGTATTTCACACATACTTTGAAGTGAAAGGAACTTCTCACACTATGAGGAAAAGATCCTTTTCAGTCTAATTTTTAATTATGTGTTTTTTATGCCACAAGAGCATATTTTGAAGATGTAACTTGATGAAGTTTTTTATGTGGGTGATTTGAGATACTAAAAATAGAAAAGTATGTAAATCAAATCAGGTTTTTACTCAATCTTTATGACACACCTCAAGCATGAGTTACTAAAAAATCTTATATGGCATTCACCATGTTAATTTTGAAAAGCCAATTCGATATAAAATCTAATCATTATCAGATTTGAAGTGTCAATATAAATTAAGGGACTGTGGTGATCTCACTAGAAAAACTTCCCCTCATCCCGTGCTTTCCTCTTGCTAAGCACAAATACATAAAATGTTCCACAAGGCTCAGTAGACATCTTGCTCACCGGGAGTTTGTAACTGTGTGTTACAAACCCTGCTGGAAGTCCAAACACTGCAAGTGCCACGTACTTTCTTCTCATTATCTAAGCTTTGTGTTTGTTCTGTTACAGATGGATACGTGCCTCATGTCCTGGCTTAGGACAATTTTTTTTTTTTCTTTGCTGTCACTTACATATTCTACTCACTACCACATATGTGAAAGTGAAGCATGATGCACTGTTTTCTGCAGTTTTTGAAAGCTTTTAAATGATTCCTCACTTCTTTGCACAGCTGGTTTTACTGCAAATTTTAAGCAGCATGCAGATTTTATAGGCCACAGTTATCCATACCTTTTTGTCTGGAGAACATACTGCTCTAGTGTGTTGATCCTTGGAAAGACAGAGCAAGAGGCAAGAAATGCCTCCTTGAAAGTGCACTGTGAACTCTGTGAAAACTCTCAAGTGCACAGTCTGTCAAAAAAGAGGATTTTCTATAAAACATGCTATCTTTCAAATTCTAAACCCCACTTATTTGGGGATGTGATTGCAGAGATAAAACTAAGATCAAAATCACTGGAATTTGGACTCCTGGAATTCAGTGGCTTTCAAAGACAAAGATTTTAAGAGCATTTTTTTTTTCCTGAGGCTTCCCAGCTTTAACTCATGCTTCACCTTGATCTCTCAGCCCATTTTGTTTCCTCTGGTTATACCATAACAGCTGACCTTTTCTCTTCAGTGTTTGAGAAAGGCTTTCTTAACTTATGTATCTTTGTTTTCCTCTGTCTTTGCTCATGCTTATGCAGTTGGGCCACTGCTCCAATCTTTTTTCACTCAGGGGAGTGGTTGGAGAGGAACACAACAAAGTGATTTACCAGAAGCCTTGTCTGTAGCTGTGCTGATAATGTTGATATTTTGGACATACAGTTTTTTCCTCAGTGGGGGGAAAAAAAGGCTGGTCACTGCTTCTTAAAAGGCTGATACTGGGTGCTAATAAACAACCATCCTGTTAATGTCATGATCAGGTCCTAAGTGAATTTCAATAATTCTTCTGAAATAGTAATACCACTCAGATGGTTCAAGAAGTACCTACAATTTCTTTGGGAAAGTGACCACAATGATATTTTTGTCCTTTAGGTGGCAGCATATGACTTCACTCTTCCAGTTAATACTTCTCGGGCTGACTTCCCATTGACACAGCCAAGCCCTCTATCTGCAACTTCTGTTGGATCTCTAAAGCACATCGTTACTCCTTGGCCAAAGGTGGTGACTGTGGCTCTTCCATTCTGTAGAGTTAAAGCAGTTGGTAGGTAAACCAGGGACTTAAGCAGATGGTGGATACTTACAGTTGTAGTGATGTTTTTGCTTGTATTCTAATTGCAGAGAATTACTACTTAACTGAAATTTGATTGATAACTGTATGATTTTTAAATTTCTTGGAAACTTGCAAAATATTCAAATTTTTGATTTGTATTTTTAAATATGTCTAAAGCTGAACTTTCTATATGCAGTTATGACGTGCTGAGAAAATACGGTTTTTTTCTATAACCATTTGCCTTATATAAAAATTGGTTTACCAAAACTCATTTTTGTTTCTACTCATTCAGTAGTATTTCTATATGTTACACTGCAGACCCCAGTATTTACAGCAGTTCATCTGAAAAGTGTAGAAAAGTAGTATGCCATTCATACTCTTTTTTTTCTAGTCTTACTCTGTCAAAAGTGGGAGCTCTAGCTATATTTAAAACTCCTTTAAAATGCCCCTGACTGGCCCTGATCTCATCTGAAACAACTTGTGGTAATCTAGTCCATTTGCTTCTGTTTGCTTTTATGTGTAGAACTGCACTCTTGTGGCCTGTCAGAGCTTGTTAATGGCCAAAGTTACAGGCCATTTGCCTGCACCAAGGAATTGATATTTTAGATGATTCTTCTCTGCTTTTCTTAGAAATAATGTGTGGTTCTCTTTAGTATTCTGTCTGATCCTTATATTCATACAGACCTACACATTGTGAATACTTGAATCCACTAGCTTTCCTGTCTCAGTTTTTAATACATAGTCACTGTTTATTTGAGATGAGACTTAAGTACTGAGTGTCTTCCTGGAATGATGTGTGTGTAATGTTTAAACATCTTGGGAGCACTGAAGGATGCTTGGCCAATTAAATGCATAATGTGGGGTAAAAGCAACTTCAATTTATTAGGTTTTATCTAGGGTTTTGGTGTTTTTTTTTTTTTTTTAAATCTTTCAAGTCTTTTCTGATGATTAGTGTCACAAATGTAAATACATTCATCTGCAATAGGAAGATCATGTGGTGCTCTGGTTATAGCATCTTTATTTGAAGGACAGATGCTATAAGTCTGGTAGATACACAACTTAAGTAATTTTAATGTGACTAAGGGGTCCTAATAAGACAGAAAATTAAATTACAGTAATTATGTATATGGTATGGGAACAACAGAAAGAAAATATGGCTTTAAAACAAGGGGAGCAACATTTCTTCTAAATGTGCAGAAACAATGATTTTGTGAGGGGACTTTGAGGAAATATTTGTCAAAATAATGGTCTATAAACATCTTAATTTTTTTTTTTTTCCAACAGTGCTTAAATCACCATTGGAGTTCTCCTCTATGGAACTTAAATTTGCACAACATTCAAGTGGCATAAATTTCAATATTGCTGATGGAAGTCTGAATCCTCAGGTACATAATCACAAATGTTGTTACACTTATTCTTGGCTATAGCTTTTAATTACTCAAAAATGACTGGGAAAAGAATACAGGTTTGGAATTCAAAATTCAGTCGTGTTCCAAATATATGGTTTAAATATTTAAAAGTTTTTTCCATTCTCATTTTGTTCAGTTTTTTATTTTGTTTGTCTTTTGATCACTAGAAATTTTTCTAAAACTCAAAATTGGGCTTGTCCTGACTTTCTGATATATGAGAATGCATGGGCACCATGAGAAACTGACCATGAATTGTATAAGAAATAGCTTACTTCCAAAGATTTTCTGCCTCAGCCTATACTAGTAAACTAGACAGTGACAGTGCAAGAATGCGATCAATGTGCCGTGATGGTCCATATAGTTAAATTGCTGTTCCAGTATGTTGTATGGTACTATCTGTGCCAACTGGCACCCTCCCAAAAAAAGTCCTGGTCATGATTTAGGGTTTAATGGGAAACAGGCACTAAATAGGTTATTTGGCCACAGCCATTCTGTTTTGCAACACAGAGAATTTGACTGTATGAATGCAAAATATACCATAACATAACTTGTTGTTTCTAATTCCCAAAGGCTTTGTTTGGAAATTATAAAAAAATATTTTTGACAATGATGAAAACACTTGAAACTTTTTTCCAAGTATCTTCAGAAAACAATGATAATACAAAGTCAAGGCCTTTTCCTAGCTATTGTTGTGTTTGAAGTTGAAAGAGTAAATCTGAGATAAAGGAAAGGATTTTTTTGTTTGTTTGTTTCTGCCTTCATCTTGTTGAATCGAAAGAATGGGCTTTGAAAACCTATTCTGAACTTCTTGCTCTTTCAACATATCCACCTGTAAGTCTAGATGTCATGAGCCATGTGTTTAGTGCTTGCTGTGCTTCATTTATATCAGGAAAACCTCCTAACTTCTGTTTGGTTAAGCACTCCCACCATGACACTTTGATCCATTTACCTCGCATAAATGAGGCTTTTCCATTCTGGAAATAAAGTACTGCTTTTTGTGAATGTGGTGAGTGACTGGAAAGCATCTACTCTGTGCTGATAGGCATACTCCTCTTCTCACCTTACAGATATAATAAACTCGGTTCTTCATTGCTTTCTAGTGCTTTCTTGCTTCTCTGATCTGATTGCAAAAAGAATGCTTAGGATAGGGCAATGTGAAAAGTATCATGGTGTTCCTTTTTCTGCAAATATTTACAGAATCTTGATCTGAAGAATATCTCAAGGCAGCAGTTGACATGGAAATTGAATTGTGGTGATGCAGGCAAAAATACAGAAGACAGTATTTTTAAATTTAGTCTGCAGACTGGATTCCTTGATCCAGGACAAATCATCAGTATTGCTGTATTCTTCTGCCCTTGTAAGTAATTTTCTGAATTCTTCTACACATAGTTTGGGCAATATACCATTTTCATAGATTTGTTTAAATGACTTATATGATGAATCACAATTAGCACTTGTTTTGATTAACTTCCAATTAACATGACCAAATAATGAACTAAAATGCCAAAAGAAAGGTTTCTTGTGGTTCTGAGAAAATAAGACAGCTGCAGACCTAACATAAAGCATGGAATCACTTGATAGCATTATTTGAAAAGTCTGGTTTGCACATATAAACCACCAAAGGCTGGGATAGCTGAATCGTTTTCGATACTGCTCCTTCGTGTGCATTTAGGTTGACTGACTTAGATACTAATGCTTTCCAAGAGTACTTGGAACGTGTGTGAGCTTTTTTTCTAAATGGCCATAATTTAGATAAGAATGGAAATTTTCTGCCTCAATGAGATACAAAATCACTTAGCTATGGTATTTTCTGAGTAGTCTGCTCAGGCAACCAGACCCTAAGTAAAAAAACATAAAATAGATTTCTAACAAAACCTGGGAGTGTGCAGGAAGATGGTAATCAACCACATACACCAGAAGAGGAATGGCAGAACATGAATATTAGGATTCTACCTTATTCCAAGTCAAGTCTTTAGGGTAGAGAGTAATTTAACTCTGTATTTGAGCTGATAAAGCCCACCAGCGAATGCAGCTGATGCCTACAGAACTCAGAGTAATTTTGACAGTTTTAAGTGGCCTACTTTTGGGGCCCCAGCCTTCTCAAGGGGAAGAAAAGTTTTGTTGGTTGGATCTGATCCTGAGTCAGCAAGTGAACATCCCCATCCTAAAGAAAGATGTTGCTCCTATCCTTCATGATAGGCTTGAAATCTATAACCTCAATTAAGCACTGGGGACAATTTAATGTAATTATAAATAAAAAAAAAATACAGGTATAAAAGTCTTGCCATGATTTTATATGATAAATAGAGAAGACTGTATTAAATATTGCTCTGGAAACATGTTGTGAATATGCAAGCGCAGTATTTAATTGCATGTGTTGCTTGGAGTTGCTTGCTGTACTTAAAAACATTTTTCCATTATGTTTTATGCCTCGTTGGTAGCTTTTGTTGTCTTCAACTTATGGTTGAAGAAAAATCACATCAACTTGTGATTTTGTTTCACGAAGTGGAAAAGTAAATAATATATAATGATTGTTGCAGAATTATTTAGAAGGTCATTTGTTTTAAATTCTTCTAATTTTTGTTTTGAGTAGCAAATTCTGACTTTTCTGAAGTAGTATTTCTTTATGCATGTAATACTTGGAAAGTTTCTGACCCAATCGGTATCTATAGTTGCAGTTTTTTACACTTCTGAGATGTCCTAGAGGTATCCTTTTAGAAATATGTATTTAAATTACTCTATTAAATTATATATAATTAGAAATTAAACTGCTAGAAGAAAGTTAAATGCCACTTACCATTGGAAGGCTGAGCAAAAATATTTAGAGCATGTTTCTGGCTTTGATGCATCACTTTGTTTCCTTTTCCCCTACATTCCTCCAAAGTAAATTGCAAAAACCCATGGTTTTGGCTCTGAACCACACATTTGTGAAACAGCCATAAAAATCTGTTCAATGCAATGAAGATTTTTTTACTAGGTAGGTTTCTGTTTTGTACTTTGTGTAATACTTGGTTTTGGAACCAAATTATGTGATCTCATCTGTCCAGGTCCTCAGTCAGTTTTTAGCGATAACTTACATAGGTTATCAAAATAAAATAGAGATGCGAATTTTTGCTAAAGAATTTGTTTTGAGAGCAATATGAAATAAAAAATCCAAGGATACTAGGTGAATTGAATGAAAATATTGTCCCAGGGTATGAGAAAACGTTAGAATATAAAAATTGGAAGGGGTTAAACAGTGGGAGCAGGATGACAAGAAGATTGGACAAAATGCAGAGAGATATCGTAGGAGAAAAATCTGGGAGTTAGCTCTTTTCAGATGTTCAGTTTTACAAAGTCTTACAAATACGGACTTGGAATCTCAGTTTACTTATGAAGGATGTAAGGATCTACTCAAAGCATGTCTAGAGAGTGTGTAGGCAGAAGAAAGGCTTTGGGTAAACTTCTGAATGTTGAGAGACTGTTGAGGTGCAACTTGGAGGAAAAATAGGTTAACGAAGTCAAGAAACAGAAACATATTATGACCCCAGATCTTTGGAGTAAGAATGTAGAGGAAAGAGGAATGGAAATATAGAAGGCTGGAAAGTGAAAAACAAACACTCGTAACTTTCTGTTGTTCCTTGAGATGCAATTAAAAAATACATATGTAGTTTACTGTGACTCTCTTAAACATTTTTTTCCTCTTTTCATAAATTTCTACTTTGCTTTCAATAGGGTGTCATATTTTTTCTGCAGTATTTCAGATAATAAAGCCTACAAAATAAGTGTTGTAACTTTGAGAATATATTCTAATGGATATTTTTGCAGAGTGTGCCTATGGTTAAAATAATTGTGGGTCATACTAAAATAATCACTTGTGAAGAACACATAAACATTTTTGTCTGCTTTGAAGTTGAGAAACATATTCTTCTAATAGGAGATATAATAGCTGCATTTTGCATTGATTAGGTTAATGCATATATCTTGGAAAAGAAAATTGCTCAGGGCAATATTAGACTTGGAAGATAAAAAGAATAAATCTGTATTTCCAGACATCTGGTGATTTTTAGGGCCTGGATGAGCACAGGGTCTCATTTTCTCCTCCTTCTAAGTGCCACTCTGGCATTTAAGACAGAGGAAACTTAAAAAAAAAATTTCTAATAATATTTTGTGCAGCAGCTGGAGAGGGATCACGTGATAATGAATAGGTGAAAAGATCATCCATATGATGGTTGTTCTATTTAGGTGTTTGTCATGAGAAAGTATCAAAATTGCTTGTGTGTTGCAAAGACTGTGAAACAGAGAACACCACACAAATAAAAGCTAATATTTTGAATTACTGAATAAATTGCATGTGTAAATGCAGATGTGTATATACATAAATATGACTGATAAATAATTGTCATTTGAAGTTATTTGTATTTTTGCTGTGTTCCCATTTTTTTATTTACAGAAAATCATAAATAACTGTAAAAATCAATTGCCCTTAATTCGATGTTCTAAGTATTTTCCATGATTTATAGCCTATTTGTGCTATACCGTCACTGAATATAATTACTGTTTCTTGTAAGAGAACATTAAATACATCAAAACCCACACAGGAGACCTAGTTAATGAATGTGGTGTACTAATCACCTTCAGAGGTTTGTACTGTAAAGTTGTAGTATGGGGGGGTGAACAAACCTTAAAATGAACTTTGAGTGTGCATTTGAGTAATTTGTTTAAATATGCTTCAATATTTATAATAATGAGAGTGCAAAACGCTATTGTAAGTCACAGTGTTAAATTAAATGCAAGAGTTTATATAATGCACAGTAATATGACGCTGCCTGTTAAGAAAAGTGTACTAAATTTAAGAGATTGTCAAGAACTGAAGGTATGCTAATGTAATCTTCTTCTGCTGTACTGTAGTATAATGCATTAACAGTATACGAAAAATTTCACTGTATCTTACTGTGGTATGAAAAAACGTATCTGAAGCATAGTAAGTTACAATAAATCTGTGCTCTGGGATCCCATGTGGAAAAACATTTGGAAATGCACCAGTGAGTTAACAGGAGTTCAGTGCCCCTGGAAGATGTACTGATTATGTAATGGGCACAGATGACCATCATGATCTTCATGTTCTAGGGTTTTTTTTCTGCAACAGTAAGGTATTAAATAGCTATGCCCTTTAACAGTTTCTGTGGAGAAATTATTAGTTTACTTTTTTTATTTTTTTTTCCCCTTCATTTTTTTTGTAGGGCTTATCTTTAAGTTTTAACTACCTGTGACTTCTCTGCTTTGAAGTCTGTATTTCAGTGTATGCAAATTCTTCATTGGCACCCATTTGTGCTGAAGGTGTATATATGCAATAAGGCATGAATTACCAGAAAGTCCAAGGCAACTAAACTAAAAATGCTTATTTGGGAGACAAGTGTAGGAGCTGAATAACAATCTAATACAAACTTAAGAGGGTGAGAAGAGTAGATGGTATTTGCGCTGCTAGAGAGGAGAAAGGAATTCTTAAAGAGGTTGTTGTTTAAACTCACTTTTGCTGCTAGTTTAAATTGCAACTGAAACAGGTAGAGTGGAAGGTGTGGGGACTTGAAATATTTCTCCTTCAGAATTGTGTGAGCAATATTGGGAGGAGAACTTGCATATGTGTATAACTGACTTTCAGCAGAAATATAAGCTGTTTATGTTTCTATTAACAAGGGATCTGCATAAAGTATAGTCCGAGGATAGCATGCTAGGGAGTTAGACACTCTCAACTGGATGGGCTTTCTAGTGCAAATTAGACTGAAAATGAAGCAGCTAATGAATATATGCACATATGTACTTTGAGAAGTTGTGTTCCTTTATTCAGAGTTTTTTTAAAGGTAAGGCAATGAATGCTTATTTCCCCTAATAAATATATCTAGAAAAGATAGAGGGGAAATTTCCCATATAATAATACGGATTTTGTTAGCCCTTGGCAAATTTAGATTGGCAGATTTGTAAATACCATCAAAACTCCTCCCTAAGGAAAACTTTCACATCTGCTGGACTGCTCGTTGTTTGCCCTATAGAAATTAATGGTGGTATATCAGAATGGTAACAGCATTTTGATATACAAGCTTTGACAGTAGTCATGAAAAGGTGTGATTAATAGAATAAATTCATGACTTCAGCTGTTAGTTCAGGACATAATTCTCATTCATTTCAAAGTAATTTATTTAACATGAAATATCCTGAAAACATTGGTCCTAGGCATTACAAATTAATGAACAACACGTAACCAAATCATTCACTTTTTTTGTGTTTGTGCATGTTTAAAATGAGGATGATATCACAGCATCCTCGTGTTTCTGACATAAGCAATAAATTACTGGCTTACATATTATGCAGAATGTTGATGTTAGTAAATGTGTGGAGCCACACACAGAATGATCAGCGATGCAGAATAAGCATTCTCTCTTCTGCCTTCTGAGCAAGTCAGGGATTCTCTGGCAAATGGATGTGATCATGTAGTTAATGGATTTGTTAGAATTGTTATGTACAGTATGGATGAAAAGTTTGTACGAGGAAAGTGTAACGCTATTCTTTCCTAACTTTTGAAGGTTTAACTTTGGAACTATGGTTAATACGAATATTTTAAAACATGAGTTAGTGAAAATTGCATATTCTTTGGTACTGATATATGCTCCTCTTCCTTCATGGCATTCCATCCCTATGGCATTTATTGTTTAAGGCCTTTCACTTTCCTTTACCTTATGTCATACGTATGTATGAAGATAGGGTACCAGAAATATGGTTTAGTTAGAGCACAGCTGTAGGACACTAGAGTGTCTAGCTCATATATGGGAGTAACTTGTATAGAACATTTTTTCTTATAAGCATGTCAAAGATGTCCTGTTTGGCTCTTCATACATCTCCATGACCTTTTCTGATGCTCTCTCACCTTTCCCTCATAAAAGGACTAAGTGCCAGAAAAAGGTGTGTTCTTGCTGTATCAAAACCTAGAAGCACAAGATTCTTAGCCTTCACAGCAGTATTGTCTCCTAAAGTTGATTTCCATTTAACAGGGAATTACCCAGATGTTGCAAATACTGCAGCAAGTTCCCCTTTCATCTGGTTTTCACTTCGACAGTTTCATGGTTTGTGGTCTGAAACAGAGAGATCTGCAGGCCATGTTCTGGTGAGCTAATAGGCTTCCATGAAGTTCCTCTGTTACCATCTCCATGAAGAAATTTGCTCTTATGAGGAGGGAATAAGACAAAATATTTTGAAACCACTAGGTTTTCTTCTTTGTGTATGTAAACAGTGGCAACTCTTTCTCAGGCTGTGAAAATAATTATCTGAACTAATCTCAAAAGAGCTTGTGACATGTATTTTGTTTGCAAACCTTTCCATATGTGCTCATACAGACATATAAAATAAAAAATTATTTGTTTTGCTATCTCTTTCCTTCTTAAATATTAGGTGAGTATGTTTCCATACTTACTAATCTGATGACAGAGGGGAATCAAAGGGAAAGGTGTTGTTCTCGAAAATGAAAAGATTAAAGTAATGAAAAGATTAAAGTTTTTGGGTTGTCTTACAACACGTCATGTAGATTTCTTTCTAAATACAAGATGCGTTTGTTAGCTGGCCCTCAAAACTGTTTGTTTTGCTAGCTCTTCCGCAGGTAGGAATGACTGAAAATTTGGTAAATGGCACTGCACAGTTTGGAACACCATTTTGGTAGTATAATGGTTGTGGAAGGAAGCACCTTTCTCCCTGTATCAGTGAAAAAAATGTGCTTTTCCATCCTAGGGAAAGCTGCCTTGCAGCAGTTAGCAAAATGGCATGAGAAGGGGCAGAACACAAGGAAATGGGAGATGCTCTCAGTGGAGAGTAGAACCAGTCCTGCTGGCTTGTGTGAGGCTGACTTGGCAATGGTACAGGTTTTAGAGTCTTCTGATAAAATGTAGTGATTGCCATCTTAAAAGACACCAACTTTTTCATGTCTTGGCAGTCAGATGCTTCTGATATATTTATTCATTTATAAAATGAGCATTCTCTGTGTTAATTAGTGTAATTATGATATGACTGCAATTCTTAAAATTCAGAGAAGCGTTACATTGATGTTGTACATAAAGGAATATCAATACAGTAAAAGAAGAACTCAAACTTTGAAAAATTTCCAACAAATTTAAAAAATATGGATTTCTAGTTTGCTACAGGCAAGTGTTCTCAGCCTTCTTAATAAATAATCCCTCTGATACAACATTTACTGTATGTCAAGCTACATTTTGAGGAAGAAAGCAATACTGATGACTTTTTTTAAAAAAAAAACACAACCCCAACCCCCCCCCAAAACCAACCCAAAACTTCTTACTATAACTTTTAGTTGCATGTATCTATGGTAATATAATTTTGTGGTGCTTTTTTTTTTTGTTTGTTTGTTTGTTTTAAATGTTTTTAACAGCTTGTCCTGGGACATACGCATCTGAAATGTCAGTGTGTCTAAATGATAATCCATCACATTACAAAATAACATTGTCTGGCACTGTGAAGTCACCAAAAATAAATTTTGATCCCCCCTTTTTAATGCTGATGCCAGTTCCTCTGGATGTGAAAACTGAAACAGCCTTCAGTATCATTCCACAAGATTATTTAAGGTAAAAATCTCAAAATAAATTTATTACAAAAATCCCGAATAATTTTTGGTTTTGTTCTCTTCTGAAAAATTCTGAAAAAAGAAAATTAATTTCTGTTTGTGAAGGTTAGTATTAATTTTCTGCTCAGCAGAGGAAAGAGTTTGCCTAAGAAAAAATTAATGTATTTGATATTGCTGTATGTTCAACAAGCCCATGTTCTGTCCTCAAAACATTCCTGCCTCATGGAGTGACCATCTTCTGATATATTCACTGTCAGATGCTTTTAAAATTACTTTGAATAGCATAAAAAATAAGAAGAGAGTCCTACCAGGATTTTTTGTTAACTTTAGCCAGATACTAAGATCACAGTCTTATTTCTTTTTTCACATTGTGATCAGATAAAATCTTTCTGTTGTTTTATTTTTCTCTACTCCACAGGTTATAAAGCACTGTTTGGGGTTTTTTTCCTTCCTAAGCAAGATATTAGTACCACAGAGGACAGCACAAATGTTTTAATCCTGTCACTTAGTATAATAAATAATCCATACATTTTTCATTTTTCTGTGGATCACCCACTTTATCCTCTTATTTGAATTTATGAGAGACTTTTTGCAATCTTTATATTATGTAGCATAACCCAGCAACACACCTATTCCAATTTGATAGAAATCTTAATATTTTAACCTTTCCAAGCACTCTTGCGTACATGTTTCAAAATACGCTTTTCTGGTCTCTAACATACAACTTTTCTGTTTGTAATTAGTAGGGAGCAGTAATATTAGTTTGTTATGCATAGGTAGGTATCATTTCAATACCAGAAGAATTGGAGCAAAACTCTTTATGTTGCGATAAATTAATGAAATTAACTTTACCTTCAGATTATTATTGTCTTATCTTGTTTGACTTGTAGTAATTTATCAAGTAATTTGTCTATTGTCAGTAACTCAGTGGCTGGAACTGAAAGGAATCCATATGGGCCTGGACTGACTCCCATTCTTATTTCATAACTGCAACCTAAAATTATACAAGTGGGGAAAGCATCTTAAGTATCTTCATGAATTTTCCCTTAGTATTTCTATTTTAAAACTTGCTTTACCTTGTTGTGCAATAATGCAATTTAATCAATATTAATGAAAGATTTAAGTCTAGGAAACCTAAAGTAAGGAAGTAATATTTCTGCCCTTTGTAGCACAGTTAGTAGAAATTGCTCTTCATTTGGATATTGAGCTATGGTCAGTTTAAGATGTTCAGATACATATGTAGAAAACAAACTAGCAGCTAAATGCTAAAGGAATTTTAATTCTTTAGTTACTTCCACTTGATTTATACTTCAAAACTGGAGTTATTCTGTATTTAACTGTGAAAAGCAGTTTTGTAAATGTGTGAATCTGTGAATCAACTTTATTACTGTCATCCTGTGAGAACAAACACCATTGCTATTTATTTTTAACACAGGCAATCACAAATTCAAGTTGAACTTCCAGAGCTTGAACTTGAAGATGGTGACAGGATTTACCCGTTTTCTGTACAGTTCCCAGAAGGACAAGATATTGTTCTTTCATCGGATGGCACAAATAAGGAACTAATTTGTCATATCAGCTTCAGGTCATCTAGGCCAGTGTCATTTTTAGGGAATATGTTCTTCATCGATGAAGCAGAAAACAGGTAATGTGTGCAATTCAGATTAATTTGGGGGCAGGGTCCAAACTGACAAAGTTGGCTATAAGACACAGAACTCATAATTGTTGGGTAAAGGCATACAAGAATCATTCTGAAAAAAATGAAAATGAAACATAGAAATATATTTCTTTTTTTAACTGAATTACAATTCAAAAACACAAAATTCAGCTTTGGTCTCTAAGGTAAGATTCATCTAAATGGTCGTCTTAAGATCTTGTATCTCATTCATATCTACTGGTAATTCTTATGTCTACTTCAGTCTTCTCAGATTGCTCTGGAGAGACATGGTCTTGATTCAGCAAATCCCAATGTTTTCTATTACAAAATATTTTGCTTTTTGAAAAATACCCTATTAACATTTTACAGTCTATTCCATGCTGGATTTCAAGGTGGTCTGATTTTGGGTTGAGCCAGACTCTGTGAAATTTTGTTCCATTGAGCCTTTCTCCTACATCTCATTTTTTTAAAGCAATGAAATGTTTGTGACTGGTTTAGAGTCTCTTTTCTGGCTTTGTCCTAATGGCATCTGGAAGAGCTGGTGGTTCTTATCACCTATTTGCAAATCTTCACAAAGTTGCAGTGGAGTGATCTTGCAAAGGATTACTCCATTTTCAGTACTCTCAAAAGCTCCAGGTGTTCCTCTCGTATCCAAGAATTCAAGAAGAAATGTATTCAGACTAACAGGAGGGAGACTTCTCAAGGGGGAATTACACTGGAAGTCAGAATTTAATTTTTCTAGGAACCTGCAAAGAACATGTCTCTCTTATTTTAAAAGGATATCTCTCCCTCCCTCTCTCAGTGTATGTCATTCTTCAGTCTTTTGCTCTCCATATTGTCCTTTTTCCCCTGCACTCTACTACTATCTTTTTTGTGTGTGTGTCCCTTTCTTTGATGTTTTAAACTATTTTTTTAAATGTCACTTTTAATTCATCTTCTATTGTTGTATCTTAATCCTTAGTTTTTCCTTCTCTGGTTCTATGTTCTCTGTTTTTAAGCTTTTTAGAGCAGAAAAGTCTATCATGAGTTTGTATACTCTGAGCTGAGACATTTCCTGATCTCTAGTTCTTCCTGCAATATCTGTAATATTGTTACTCAGTTAGCTTATTAGGACTGGAGTCTACTGTCCATACCAAAGATCAATATGGAATCATTCAGGTGGCAGAGTGTCGGTTGGGTTGGTTTTCTTTTGTTTTAGTTTGTTGTTTTTTTTGTTGTTGTTTTTTGTTTGTTTACTTGTGTTTTTTGTGTTGGTTTTGGATTTTTTGTGGGGTTTTTTGGCTACCGAGAAGGAAAACTGCAAATGTGTGTTCTGAGGCAGGAATTGGGAACTATTAGGTGATGAATATATTCATGCATCTGTCAATTTTTTTAAAAATTTGCAAGGGGTAGGGCAATATCTTTGAGCAACTCTATGGGGAAACAGTTGATTCATGAATAAGGAGGAGGCTGACTCCTGATCTCAGTGAAGGCGTTCTTTGGGGCATGAGATAAAAAGGAATCGTTTTAACAGCCAGGTGACACAAAACTGCATGGATGGATTTGCTCATCTATATCAGTGCAATTTATTGTTTACAGGTTCTAAAATATGTAGATGTACACGCACATATGTATGTGTGTATGTGTGGTTTTGTGGTTTTGTTTTTTTTTTCTTTTGTATGTGTAAAGCTAGGAATTCATAAAAGTATGCTAGGGATATGTTTCAGCTTCAGACCATACTTCCTGTATGAAAAGTATATGGGATACTGTCTTTTCTCATGTACTTCTGATATACAAGACACAGGACTGGATAGCGAAATATGGAAAACTGTTGGTGTCTTCTCCCTCCCTCTGTGCTGCACTCTTTGCTGTTTTCTGCTGCTGTCTTAGAGGGACTTTCTGGACAGCAGCATCAGCAGAAGCAGGAAATACCAGAGTGAAAGGAAGAAGGACAGATGTGCTTTACATTGTTATTTATCTATTTATCTATTTCCTCAAATGTGATCCTGTGCACTACGTCAGAAAGTATTTGCAGTTTTCAAAAGTACTGAAATTATTTGGGAATATAATCTCTACATCTGAAAAATACTTAGGAATTTACGTGGTCTGTTTCCTGTTAGACCTAAATTACCTTAGGACAGAACACCTAGAGTTTGGCAGCAATTTATAGGCAGCGTTCATACCAAAATTAATGTCTTCAAAACACTGTTAGTGACGAAGACGTGCAAACATGAAATTCATACATCTTGTTTTGATTTTAAAGTAGTAAGCTGTTTTTTAAGTAACTTTAATGGTGAAAAGCAATGCAGAAGGTCTCCTTTGCCCCTAGTAAATGGAGATCAAATCTGTTATTAACTGTTCTGTGCAAAAATAACTGGTTTTAGCATTTGTCCCTTTTGTTCATCTCTTCCCTTGATGGGATGATTTGGTGCATGCATGAGGAGGAAAGATAGGTACTGTTGTAATTAAAAGTAATTCCCGGAGTGAATTTTTTCAGTAAAACAACTATTTTGAGGGTTAAATATCTCTGCCCTACAGCTTAGAATGTGTGGGGTTTTGTTTTTTTTTTCCCCCTAAGCATAAAACTACATTTTATATTTTTTTGATGCAAGGGTTATGAACCTGTCAGTTATTGCTGCTCACACTGGGTTAGTATTTTATATTTTTCTCTATAGATTGTCAACCAAAAATCTATTTCTTATTCATTTTATTTAATTCTAAGATTTAATCATTGTGTGGAATGTGATTCATAAATGTGTGCTAAAGCTTGCAGTAATTATGAGAAAAGGATAATTTAAACTTATGATGAGGTCTGAAATATAGCTGCTGAGCAGGCACAATATTTAAATAACTGTTTTTATATGGTGCACTAGCAACTTCTCCAACCTTGTTATAGAGAAATAATCCTTTCTGCTATGTAACAAACTTTTTTCTATATTTACCATTAAAATGAAATAAAGGATACCATCCTCAATTTAAAGGCAAACTCAATGTGCTTTTGAAAAAAAGATACCAAATAAAAGTCATCACCTTAAAAGGCATCCCTGCTTGCAAAGGTGAAAAAATTCATGTCAGGAATGTCAAATCATCTCAGAATTGCTGCTGTATTTTAAAACATACTACATAGGTATTTGTTAAAGGACAACACTAATAACATTGGTTTGCCAATGCACATGTGATTTCCTGTCAGGGAATTGCATGTATGTGTGGGCTGTAGGAGCAGATGATGTAAAACCTGAACACAACTGGATGAAATACCACACCATCAAAAACAACGGGATTCTGTGTGTGCTATTAGTCAGTGTAGTAATATTGTTCATATTGGCTTTTGGAAGAAATTATTTTTGTCATAACCAGGAAGAATTCTTTCCTTCAATTGGAAAAGTCTAAGACAGTGCCTGATTGTCTAATCCTGAGCATATCGTTGTTATTCTAATAAAGTCTACGTTAATTTATCCAGACTTGGGTTTCATTACTACTGTTAGTATTACTATGTGCTTTGATATTCCACTCTATAGTAATCTGTAGCTGTAGTTTCTTGTTCTCTGCATATCTACCCTCATCCTTCCCAGCTGCCCTTCATGGGAGACCTGTGCAACGCGTTCAAACTTCAAACCTGATTCAACTAATTATCTAAGCATTTGAGCAGTTTGTTTCAAACTGTGTAACTAATGAATATAAACTGCTTTGTTAATTTGAGTCTTTTAGGAAGACAAGATTTCAGGGCCTCCTAGATCTTTAATAATAAAACAATGAAACCTATAACCTTTTATAACACCTGTAAAAGCTAACTGGTCTTGAATAGGTTCCTGGTTTGTTTAATAGGCCGTGAAATCTCACAGTATCTGTTGCCGAAGACATATTAATTTGTCAGGTATTCTCTCTTTATAGTTCCATATTCAAAGTAATAATATGTATTTTTAAATTATTTGAGCTAAAATTTTGAAGTCCAACTTATATTCTGTGTTCTGGGATGGAATTAAAATAAGTGAGTTAAAAAGGTATTTTCATATGCTGGTAAAATATCATGTCCTGTATTTAACTACTTAGAAGAGGAGCCTTTAAGTCTAGGCATATTTCAAAGCATGAGTATTGATGAGACAAATACTCTTTTTTGGTCATTTTTTTACTTAGGCTCTGGGGTGTTTTGCTTTTCTAAATTCAGGTCTAAAACTTCAGTAGGATTGATTTGTGTAGTCCATATTAAGTCCATCTAAATAATAATTTTTTTTTTTTCTTTAAATCAGAGTGAACATTGGGTAGAGGATAGATAATTGTTGAATTTGGCTACTTAACAGAAAATGTTTGAAAGATGATACGCAATCTTCTTTTACAGCAAAACCATGCTATATGTAGTTGTAAAAGAAAAATGAAGAGATACATGGTTGTCATTTATGCAAGTAATTTACTGTGTGTGCAGATTCCATTAAATGAATCATAGGAAAGTGCATTAATATTTATTTAATGACTGCTTTAAATGAGAATTTGCAGTTAATTTCTAATGTTATTTTTAATCTCTTTTCTCCCTTTTTGCTCCTTTGACTCCAAAGCAGAATAAATGGCATTTCCTTGCTTAGGGCTGGTAGGAATACAGAAGTAAAAGATACCATAAAATCCAAGAATGTATTGAGCAAGTATTTAATAAATGGGAAATCTATTTAGCTATGACTCTTATTTCCTTCAACATGAAAAACTAAACCAAAAAAAGCCTCTGCGAACATGGCATGTTTATATATATTTGTCCTCTAATTGTTATTGTATCTTTTAATTTGCTGATTAGGTATATAATTTAGCAGGAAAGAAAGTTTTCTGCCATCCTGATTGAAATGACATTTAACTTATTCTTTCCAGAAAATAAGTAGTAAAGAACAGGTACATGTTGTGTCATACAATCAAAGGAAATGGTGCTTTGGGCAGCAAAACATCCAACACCCCCCACATGTGGTGGGTAGATAAACTGCTGTGATCATTGATGACACAAATGTGCTGAGGTCCTTGTCTCCCGTATTGTACAGTTCTCCACTTTCTTTCCCCCTTCCGCTGGGAAGCTGGGGAAAGTCATGCAATTCCTGATGTTCACATTGTTCATGGCTGGAACTTCAGGAAGAGAGGATATCAGGGATCTTAGCCTCTAATAACAACATGATGCAACTGAGACACAATCACTAAAAGGTACCCAGTTATGAATCAATTCCAGTTGTTTTGGTGGTCCATGAGCTCTCGGTGTCTCATGGAGGGAAACAGTACGTTCCCTTTTGTTGTTGGGGAAACGTGCCTAAACCACGCAGCTCTTTAATAGGCACTCCTGACAAATGTCAAATGGCATGTATTCTGCTGGCATGCCTTAGAGAATAAGAGCTGTCAATTTCTTTCAATATCTAAATTTGGAGAGAGCAGGGAGCTAGAAAACATTGGAGTTCTTGATATTTGCGTGCTGCTTTGCGGCATTCATCTGACCTAATAATATATTGGCATTTTACTTCAGATAGTTGGGGAGTGCTTTTGAAAACCAGGATGGTCCAAACCCATTAATCGCTCCTGTTCTTTTCTGTGCTTGTGGCTTCCTACCACTTTGGTGGTCCCCGCCAGCTGAAGCATCTGTTATTCAGGAATTAAGAACAGACATCATTGCTGCTATTAGAAAAAACATGGCTACTTTCTTAGCAATAAGTCTTGTATATCGTGTGAAACCATGTGTCTGTCACTATTCATTATAGTATTATTTTGATTACTGTGGAAGCCTGAGCTCCTGCTACAAAGGATAAGGGCTCCTCAGTGTTGGGGAACTGCTTGTCTGTGAACAGAAATGGCAGAGCCTGCATGGGTCATCTTTTCCTCTCCCTCCCAGTTCTGTCATCTCTGGATCTATTCAAGGATTTTTTGGGGGAGGGAGGTGGGCAGGTCTTTATTTATTTTTTCAATTACAACTTCTTGTTGCCTGCGCCTAGGTTATTCCTTGTTCTTAAAGATCGTAAAATGCCTCACTCTCATGTCAAGTTTCCTTTTGGCACTAATGAATTCTGCAAGCAGTTTGTTTTGTTTCCTAAGCTAGCAGTGTGAACTTCCCTTAAGTATTTTTTTTTAATTTACCCAAGCAATGTTGCTACAGAGATTTGTCAATTAGATCCTAATGGCTTTGGATTCTTTCTCTTTAGAAATTGTTAGTGATATTCTGCATCTGTTAATGAACACCGTTGAAGAAGGGTTATTTAACTATGCCTGTATTTCTAGAGCATTTGGGGTACACTTATACAAAACAAATCACTTGTTTCTACTTAGAAAATGTCTGAAATGCTACAGAGCAAAGTAAAAAGGATAAGTATATTTTGATTCAGGTTCTTTTGTCTTTCCACAAACATTAAAACAAACAAGCAAAAAGAAAATCAGAGTTAATTTAAGAGAAGTGAACAAACCGCTTTTATATAGAGTGTTGGATGGTATTTTTTTGTCATCACAGTTGGAGCTTTAGTTTTTGGTGATCAGCAAATTTCAAATGTTGGTAAACACAATATATTTAATGGCCATTCTCCTGTTCTGTGTTCTTTGGAAATATGCATTAGAGAATAAACACTGAAATAGCAGTGGCAATGATGGTTCATGTAGATAACAAATTTTTTACTTGCTTTATTAAGCATTAAAAAACTGGATGCACTGAATAATTTAACACATTTAGCAACTTCACATTTGCTAGCAATACAGGTACCTTTCATTCTAATAGAATAACAGACTTTTATATTATTTAGTTAAGCTCTGCTGCAAATACGGAACAAACACATTGCACAAGACTTATAGCTTTGTAACTTCAGTTAATGAATGGTGTTATAAATAAAGGTCCGTGGTACAAGATGATTTTAAGCACATGCAGAATGTACATGTCTTTGTAATCTATTTGCCGTACTTTTATGGAAATATGCATGCTTTTCTGTCTGGTGTCCCATATCTCAGTGCTTGAAATGTATATGATAAATATTTAGCTCCCAGCAACTTTGGTTTTTCTGCTTCCTTACAAATGGAGTGTCATCTTTTGAAACTCAGATGAGTTTTTTAGCTACAGTATCATTCTTCTTGAAGTTTCCTTTCAAATGCCAGTTTTGGGAAAATACCGTATTAAAATACTTAATGGTGGTGAGTAGACAGGTGGCAAATAAGTGAGTTGATATTTATTATCACAGAATGGCTGAGGTTGGAAAGTCTCTGGAGATCATCTAGTCCCCTCTTCAAATCCACTCCTCAACTGAGAATCAACACTGTTGTCCAGTTGTTTTTTTTAATATCTCCAAAGATGGAGGTTCCACAACCCTCTCTGGGCAGACTCTTCCAGTGTTCAGCCACTCTCATGGTAACTTTTTTTTCTTATGACTAGATAGAATTTCCTGAATTTCAACTTGTACCCATTGCCTTTTGTGCTCTTACGAGCATCACTGAGAAGTTTGCTCCATCTTCTTTAGTCCCTCCCATTTATACACGTAGATAAGTTCCTCCTAAGCATTCTCCAGGCTGAACACTCGCAACTTTCAGTCTCTCCCCATATGGCAGGTTCTCCAGTCCCTTCTTCATCCTTGTGGCTCTTTGCTGGCCAAAGTCTGCTCTTCTGAATTCCAGGGTTGTGATACAGCTTTCTGCCTTGTTTCCTCCTTTTGGAATCCTGAACGCCACCATTTCATGGCCACTATAGCCATGGTCACAGGAGCTAAATCCTTGCTGTCAATATCAGCTGCAGAATCAGTTGTTGACTTGCAGGATCCATCTACTCATCCTCAATGTCTTTTCCCTCACCAGCATGATTGAAGAGAAGACCACCTGTGCTCCATTCCCTTCTTCATTGCCCCCAAAGCTGTGCAGTCATGCCTGATATGTTCCAGGTCTCCCCATCAAATTCACTGGTGCCCATGTTGGACGAGTAGCAGGGGCCAAAGGTTGGACAAGCTGCATTGGTCTCTCAACAGCATCCTGGATCAAAGCCCCCGGCAAGCAGCAAATCTCCCTAGATGAAGGGTCAGGTTGGCAAATGAGGTCCTCTGTCCCCTGCAGCAGGGTTTTACTTACTACTATCACTTGCAGTTTCCTGGTGTTGCTTCACAGCTCATGCTCAGCCAGCACAGGTTCTTCATTGTGCAATCTTTTTTCGTCTTATGAACACTCTGAAGCTTCTGAATGTCTTAGTTAAGAATATATTTGCATTGCATTACATATTGGCTGGGTGTATTTAATACATATACATGTATAATACTACAGCAGCTAAGGAGGCATGCCCTTGTGGGATTGTTAGCAGCACGGAACAGGGAGGAGCTTCTCTTGCAGCAGCACTGTGAGGTCTGAGGCGTTTATTTGTTCACCGATGTTCTGTAGTGATGGCTGTTCTTTATGTTCTAGACTGTGCAGTAACTTTGAGTAGAGGCACTCATTGAATTTGTGTAACTAGTTAAGATGTACTGCAGTTGTTCTCAAGCGCACCTTTTCTGTGTTTCATTACTGTGCAAATCGGAGCGTGAATGAAGATTTGGCATATACCCAAATTTCATCAGCCTGGAGGGTGGACATGGCTGAGGTGCTCACCTCAAACTGAGAAATCAGAAAGTTGACTGAGTCAAATAATACAGACATCTGAGTTACTGTCTCATAACTTCAGAGCTATGCCTTTCATTAACCTTCATACAGCTTTATTCCATTTCTGCCCCCAGTTCTGTTTGAAGTTAACCTAACGTATGCCTGCAGAGTATTGAGAATTGTCGTTTATCACAGTAAAGTCATGAGTTGGAAGTTGGCAAACTTTTATGTGTTGTAGTTATTGATCCTATGAATCTTTAAATGGCCTGGTAAAGGCAGAAAAAAAATGCTCTGACACCTGGTTTGGGCATGTGCAAATGTACTCTTTGTACATATAGATAGATGTAGATACACCTCTCATAGCCATCTGTCCGGCTGATGTCCTGCTGCTGAGATTTTTGCTGAATAAAAGCAGAAAGCATGAAGTTAGCTAAAAGAAATACTGTGCTACAAGGTGAAACTGGCCAAGGCCCTTGCCCTGCTGCCAGCCAAGTTCCAACAGGATTGACATGTCCCAAGAACAAACCAAAACACTGCAGAGCTGGCTGGATTATTATTTTAAATAACTGTTAGCTATGAAATTGGAATGCAAATGTGAATATTTACAAATAAGAAAGATGGCTGTGGATTTTGTTGGAGCCTTTCTCTATTTAATAAAGTTCCCCTGAAAGTGGTATCTAAGAATGTTGTCTGTGGAGAGGTAAGTATGAAAGAAGAAAGAAAAGCTACTTTCTGGTACTTTTAAAACATTTCTGTTTTCCTTGATTATGTTATTCAATAATAAAGCAGTAGAAGCTAATTATGTCATATTATAAATTAATCTGAAAGGTTTTGTGATATCTTTTAATATTAATCTAAATTTACATTAAATAGGAATTTATCCTTCAATATGTAATTTAAAGAAAATATTTTCTATTTTCTTTTGGTCTGTGCAAGGTGTATTTTCAATATGCATAATTCTTGGTATACTAAAGCAAGATGGATATCAGCATGCTGTTTGAATTATTAAGACACATTTTTCTTTGTATTTTTGACAGCTTAATCGAAATAGTTAATTAACATTAATGTCATTTAATAAGTTAATATGGAGCAAAAAAACCAGCTATGTAGTGACAAAGAACTAAGCTCAGTTGAATTACCTGTCGGTTGCAATAAGCTGAGAACATACATAGAGATGGCTAAGAGGGATCCATTGATGGCAATAACTTCCTTGTTGACTGCACCCCGAGAGATTGACGTGAAGTATGAAAAAAAGGTTAAAGGTAGACTGCTACACACTAATATGACTGCTACAGACAGTACAGATACTCTAGTGAACACTGGAGCATGTACATCAATTTCTATTATATTCTAGAAATTGTAGTCAATATCTCATTGTTTTTAAATTGAATCTGTTTATTTCTAAATATTTATTCTGGGATTTCTGTAAAGTCTTATAGAACAAACACTAAATCAAAATAGAAGTTGCTTTTCAAGAAAACTTCTCCTGTCAAAAATTTTAGGATATATTTAGCAAGTTAGCAGTGTCCTTTAGGACACTCATAAATGTCAGCTGTAATTTTAATTGTTTTTTCTTTTCAGAGAGACAGAGTTCATTTATTTCACAAAATCTCTGCTAACTCTTGGACTTTCAGATTAATGATACATCCATGCTCATAGTAAAACTATGAAGTGCAAATACTGTACTAAACTTCACCATTTCGGCATGTGCAGTCCTATCTGTGTACTCTTCTATTGAACCAGAATAGAAAAGAAAAAAGTTGTCCAGATACCTTCATTTTGTCTTTTATTCTTGTGCTGAAATATCTTGATTACCATGGCTAAATAGAAAACTATCACTTTTGTATTTTGTTTTGAACAGGTTCTCAATTCAAGTTGCTGCAACAGCAGAGAATTGCCTTCTTACTTTATACCCGTATTTGGCATTTCACCGCTCTGACCAACAAATTATCTTGAGAAGCAGTAAGCAGTCAACATTCTATCTCTTAAAATTATATTATGTCCAGTAGTACTATCAATGTTTTCAGTGTGATAACAGGGATGTTATTGTCAAAATAGTACTTTTCCTCATTAATTACAAGCGGATACTGCAATTAAATTTTTAAAACCGTTTAATAGCTTTTGTTTTCTTGTTGAAAATGAGGAAAACTTAAATAAATGATTAGGTAATGTTTATTGAAAAATATTGGACAAGCCTAAAACTTACAGAATGTTTTGTGAAGTTTTTGAAATATAAGTAGAGAAAACAGCCCAAACAATAGAGAATAAATGAATATAATTTAAATTATACTAATAGAGAGTGACCATCAATAATTCCTAGGACATCAGTTGGACATGTTTTGAAGAAAGCAAAATAGAAGAAAACCACACTATGTTATGATAAAATGCAATCATCATTTGCCTGTTGGGAATAGTTTTCAGCTTTTTTTAATTACTGTCTTTGAAGGCTGGAGAGCATAGCCATATTTTAAGGCCTGATAAAAGCCCGTGACCAGAGACTAGAAATACTTTTGTCTGCAGTGTGTCTCTCTGCCTGCCTCTCTGTCTCTACATCTCTGCCTGTGTGTTCCCCCCCTGGCCCCATCTCTGCCTGCCTCCTCCCCCCTGCCCCTTTCTACCTGCCTTAATGATCTGTAATCTCTGTGTAGCTGTGCTTATGGGAAGTATTAGGATCATTGTATAATTCAGGCCAGAAGAGATCTCTGGGGGTCATCTAGTCCAGCTTTCTGCTCAAAGCAGTTTCAAATATGGAGTAAATTATTGTATTTTTTGTAGTTGTTGGGATCTGATTTTTTTTTTTTAAATAGACAAGTTTTTCAAGTAAGCAAGTCATTCCTTAGGTCTGAAATAGATTTAGTTTTGAAGACTCTGAATTCTAAGACTGCATTAACTTAAATAAGTGTGTTACTTGGACTATCTAAGAGAAAAGAGAATTGGTACTTGTGAAGTTGAAAAAGGAATTAGCAAGAAGACAGGTAATGGTCGTTCCCCCCCCCCACCCCCTATAGAAGATAGGTATAGGTACTATATCATTCATGGATCATAGCACAATTAAATGAAGATAGGAAAGGGGGAAAAGTATTCTCTCTGGTAAGTGTGTGTGTGGGTTTTTTGGGTTTGTTGGTGGGCTTGTTTTTTTTTTTTTGTGACCAATAGATCATTTTTGCAAGCTTGTCTTTTGAAGATGCTTTGTAGGTTTCCCTTGAGGATTAAGCCACAAATGGAGTGATGATTTTATAAGAATTGATCTCCTATTAATAATGGGGTATTTCTGTCCTGTATTGATTGCTTATTGGTTTGTTCACACTATCAGTTTGTATCAGTTTTGAAGTCATTATCACTAAATTCCTTGAGTCTATTTTATGTGGTTTTGTATAGACTAGTTTGGTGTGGAATGCTGTTTAATGTCACCAAACCATATCTATACAACACAGTGGCTTTGAAAGCTATTCAGGAAGGCTTTACTTCCACGTATCTGATACCATGCTCTTATTTGCTCCAAACCATACAAATAACAGCGCCAGCAATCAAAAATTAAAGATAATCGTACAGAATTCTTCTTTCTCTTACTGGTGTGTTTACTTCTCTAGAAAATACACTGGGTTCCTCTTCTACTCTTGTTCTGGAGACTGACATCAGAGATAGTTAGCGGGGGGTCTTCTAATCCTATCATAGGCCAGCTTGATAATGCCAGAACATATATTCTGACAGAACTGATGGGTTGATAAAGCATACTTTTGAATTTGGGTTGTAAAATATGTGTTGTTGAGTTTGAAAGAACTTTATAATGTTATGCTGATACTCGTTACTGAGCTGTGATCAAAAATTCCTTAAGAATATTTTGTTCATGACTTAGAATTCTTGAATTAGCGCTGTTCTGATAGGTGCTTTTCAAGCAAATGTGAAGACCCATCCTGTAAAACATACAGTTAGTGGAAAAAAATATGCAGGTGATTTCTGTCCCCCCGCCCCCCATCTAATGACCAAAGGGAGATTTTCATCATAAGTCAAATGAGAACTGTGATATAATTGAAGCATGAAATAGGAAAATATAAAAGCAGATAACAGTTATAAACTGCTAGAGCACAGACAATAAAATATGTTTTCTCAACTGCAACTTATAATCTTGTTTTATAGACAGTAAAGACTGCAGTAGTGAAGTTGTTCTGCATCCATGTTATACTCCACAATCACTTTCCCACAGTATTTCCTCAAGTTCCTTTGATGCAACCACTGCTTCAACCTATGAAGATTCTCAATCAGGTATAGTGCAGCTGTTGACTTTAAACACTTTGAGCTCTTACAACTGCTTTTCAGCTTACTGCTTTAACAAGAGATGTTTCACACTTGTAAGCTTTGCCTGAAATGCTTCTGCACGTATAATCAATGAATACTGGGGAGGCTGCCCTCTCCTGTGACACCATGGGAAACCTGGCCTAGAGACAAAACTTTCCTTCCTTTTAGCAGACTAAGTGGAAGGGAAATCAGTCAAACTATTAAAAAAAGCAAACAAACAAACAAAAATAAACAAACAAAAAATGTCAAGACCCCATTTGCAGTAACATGGAAGAGCCAGCAGAAAAATAACTACTGAAGAAAGCTAAGGGATTAGTTGCTAAGAAGGGCATTGTTTCTGTAGTAATAAACCAACTAACCACATACACTCTGTAAATATGCTATATTCTGCAAAGGTCTAGCTGTATGCTCAGGTTAGACTTTGAAATTTTTATTTAATTTATGAAGTACTGTATAAAACCAACCGTTGTCAGTGGGGCTCAGCTGAGGTGCTGTTCCATATGAACTAAGAGTAATAGATCTTCTGCAAGGTTGTCAGGTGACTAGTATCTGAGGCTGTTGACATCTCTCTTCTTTCAGCTGCTAGTTTTTTTAACTAGGAAGTAAGAACAGCAGACATTACTGCTGCTGTTTCATCATTGTTAGGATTCCACTCTTGCATATCTGCTGATGTTTGTGTGATTGTTCTTTAAGGTATTGCCAAGACAAGTAGGGGTAGTTAAACAGGTTAAATAGTAGCTCTTTACCAACATGATTCAGTTTTTAACAGAATGATGTAAGAAGAGTTCAAAAGAGCAACTCAGTTTCAGACATGAAAAGGCAATAACCTCTAGCAAAGGTGGCAGTGACAAGATGGGGAAAGTAATCTTGTTAGTTGGCAGAACTGCACAAACTCAGATCTCGCTGCATGATGATCTTATAAAGGACAAGTTTCTATCTCCATTTTGTATTGTTTTTTCTTCTTAAATCCTAACAAGATTTTTTTTATTCACTAAGGTATTAGTTTTATTTTTGCATCATTTAACGAAACATTAAAACTGCAACAGTGGTATTAAAATACACCTTCAAGGATGGAATCATCGGAGTTATTTGTACTATGAAGAAAAGTGTTCTGTTTTCTTTATTATTGCATAAAAGATAACTTTGTTTTTAATGTTGTTAACAACTAGTAGTTGTTAAAATATATGATCTAAGTTTTGACCAGGTCAGAATTTAGGAGAGAGAAGGCCTAACAAAGTCCAAAGGCCTATAGATTGGGATGTAGGCTTAGTTATACCTACTCAATACCTGAAATCTGTTTGAACACAAGTCAGTTAGAGCCGTGCTATGTGATTGAGGTGGGGAACTAGCACTGAGTAGCTGGTAAAGCTATACCCTCTGGAACTGTATGTAAGACTGTTTCTTTAAGATTGCTGTCTGTGGTTTTGTAAGCCAAGCCTGAATTTATTTTTTCTAATTACATAATTTTTTTAAAGTGAAATTAGATTCCAAGAATATAATTTGTTCTATTCCCAACATGTGTACATGTCACTTAAATTGTTTATTCCTGAAATAAGTTGATCATTTGTTGTCTGACAGTTTTTTGTTTTCTGAAAACAATTGTGTGTTTAAAAAAAAAAATACTGCTTTTGTACAAAAACAGGGAAATAAGGAATCTTTCCGGATTTTGTTTTTGTGTATCATTCAGAGTCGGATACTACTTTTGAAAGTGAGAGTGATGAAGAGATGAGTGAAGAGAGTAAAGCTGACAGTCAAAGTGATGGGAGAGAAAATAAATTTGAATTATCATTTTTTCCTGGTGAAGATAAAGAGGAGTACATCTTCTTTCAGAAAACCCTAACTGCTGTTAAGAATTGGTTCACTCTCTTTGGTTGGTCTAAGGGACAAAATCCTCTTTCAATACCATATTCACTAAGACGGTAATTCATATCTGCTTAAAGCTAACTTATGTCTGCCTTATAAAATGTTAACATATACACTAAAGCATTTTGGATATGATCTGAAGAATATAAACACACTTGAATGCACAGTTGTATATTAAAATTGTAGCATCTATGTGCTGTTTATAGGAAAATATCATTCAAGTGTTATTTTTCGTTTTCTAAAATATATTTCCAAGTATGATGCTCTGATATATCATGATGCGGTGTATGTTAAATACGCAGTTCAAACTACATGTCACCCTCTTAACTGAAATTGATTTTCCTCCCAGGAGGAACACAGTTCTAGCAATTGTCCCTTCTTTGGTGGCATAAATAAGTGTCTTAACAATATGTCTTTTTCCCCCCCTGCATACTCTGAAGATCAAGAAACAGATGGGAAAGCAAATTTCATAATCAACAGTCTTGCAAACTGGAAATATATCAGTCTTACTGGCATCTCTTAGTTGATCTTATCTAGCTTGCTACTGAATAATGAAGCAGCCAATCTCCTGGGACACAAACACATAGGCATTTATAAACATGATAGAAATCAAAGTTATGTTTGGCAGAAAGCAATGACAAACAAAAAGTTATTTATGAAATATTTCACACATACTTATTAAATATTCTATGCAGTTCAAAATTCTTACATTATTATGAAAGTTCTGTAAAAAGGAAAAAGTGCTATACTTTTCAACCTTCTTGCTGCTGTTTTTACTTCATGTTTATTAAATTTATCATTTTGATATACAAAATGTTAGCTCATTTTGTGCATTTAAAAGAATAATATCAGAAGCTTTTTCTCTCTTAGTGATGTGTGTAAAGTCCAGATGACCTCTTCACAAGAAAAGTTTTTTAAACAAAACCTTGGCAAAGATACTAAGACTGTTTATGACATGTTATTCCATCTGAGTGGACAGTTGTTACCAGGCATTACATCGAGCCAGTCATTGCCCCTTGACCCAGTTGAACGAATGTTACAGCTCCACTGGCAGCATTCTACTCTGCTTGCTTTTCTTAAGTAAGTACATGTATGATAAAATACACATGCATGCATCTTTTCTTTCAAATTTATTAGCGTAGTTCGAACAATTCCAACTGAACAATATACAGTAGGTTTAGGGTTTCCTTTATATTCTGTCTTCTGTGATCTAAGATTCATGTATTATAAACTTTAATTAATTTTTACCAAGGTTATCCTCTGCAGTTTTTGCTAATTGAGGTGTCCTTTGGTAGGGTTATATCCAACACAGGAATTCCATGGGAACTCTGCTCTCTAAATTACAAAAGATGATGACTCTCAACCTCATTCCTTAGACAGACTCAGTAGATAGTCAGATCAGGTTTGTCATTAATGATCTTACTATTCCACTGATGCTCTTCGTCCTGTAATTACTGGCTTTAGCAAAAATTTTGTAGACTTACTTTGTCATCTATTCATCTTTCATATTAAAAATATGCCAAGAAATGGAAGCACTACTCCTGCTGCTGAACAGATTTAGCTATTAGCTACCTTCATTGATAATCTTCTCTTGTCACATAATACAGAACAACTGTCAAAGATGGTGCAAATCAAAAAAGGTTAATAAATTCTTCTTCATCCTTCTTGGCTGTCACTGCTGTGAAACAGAGAAGAAAATGAACTTCAGAGAAAGTCTAATGTCATGAGATCCTTAGAGATCATCAGAAGCCCTGAAACACAGCATCTATGCTTCTTTTTAGCATCCTCACCTAGTGTTCAAGAGGCTGTAAAGCCATTTAAAAACTGTCATTTACACACTGTTCGAAATACAAGCTTTTCATCTGAGAATAATGGACAGTGATATAGCTGTATCTGAACTCATAATGAAACCAATGCACACTGGAATTTTATTTGCAACTTCCATCCATGTCATTTTTACAAAAAAGAGGCAGAATAGCATTCTTCTGTGCATTGTAGATAATATAGTGGCAGATGACTTGCAGGAGCCATTGCAGCAGTGGCAGAACAAGATCTTTGCCTTTCTTCAGTAATGAAAAAAATGCTTACAAATTTCTGTTGTTTTCACAACTTCACCATCCATTCAGATACTAAATAAAGGAATCAATGGATACATCCCATCATATTTTCCCATCATATCTTAAAGGCTAGAGTCATTAAGCAGTGGACTGCTGAAGAATGTCCTGCCATCATATCAATTGAAAACTCTCACCAATACCACCCTGCTGATCCTTCTTCTGAAGGAGTGTTGCATCCTTCTAGAGAGGAAGACATTGAGTATGTGGCAGTATAGAATCATGGAATCGTTTAGGTTGGAAAAGACCTTTAAGATCACGGAATCCATTCGTTAACCTAGCACTGCCAAGTCCACCACTAAACCATGTCCCTAAGTGCCACATCTACATGTCTTTTAAATACCTCCAGGGACGGGGACTCAACCACTTCCCTGGGCAGCCTGTTCCAATGCTTGACAACCTTTTTAGTGAAGAAATTTTTGCTAATATCCAATCTAAACCTCCCCTGGTGCAACTTGAGGCCATTTCCTCTTGTCCTGTTGCTTGTTACTTGGGAGAAGAGACCGACATCCACCTTGCTACAACCTCCTGTCAGGTAGTTGTAAAGAGCGATAAGGTCTCCCCTCAGCCTCCTCTTCTCCAGACTGAACAACCTCAGTTCCCTCAGCTGCTCTTCGTAAGACCCTTCAACAGCTTTGTTGCCCTTCTTTGGACACAATTCCAGCACCTCAATGATTTTCTTGTAGTGAGGGGCCCAAAACAACACAGTATGATATGATGCTGAATGGTTTTCTAAGTAGATTCAAGAGATTTTTGTATTTATCTAATGAGTATATTGATATTTTTCTGAGGTCAGAGGGTCAAAAAACTTATTTTGGTTCCAACCCAAGGAAAATCCTTTCTGTTGCCATGCCTTAGGTCTAGTGTTAATACTCTGCACAACTCCTAGGAAAGCAGTCAAGAACAACTTCAAGACATGCTTCCCCTTTTGAACCCTGTTACTATGGGCTATTCCATACCATGTGACGTCATGCTCAGTATATAAACTTGGGGGAGTTGGCCAGGGGGCAGTGATCGCTGCTCAGGGACTGGCTGGGGATCTGTCAGCAAGTGGTGAGCAATTGCATTGTGCCTCACTTGTTTTGTATATTCTTTTATTATTGTTATTTTCTCTTCCTTTGCTGTCCTATTAAACTGCCTTTATCTCAACCCATGGGTTTTACTTTTTTTTTTTTTCCTCCCGATTCTCTCCCCCATCCCACAGGGGTTGGGGGGAGGGTGAGCAAGCGGCTGTGTGGTGCTTAGTTGCCAACTGGGGTTAAACCACAACACATGCGCTTAGCATTACTGCATCCTGTTAGTTTTCTCCCTCTTCTAGTTTGTGTGAATCCTATCAGATTTCTTCACTGTTCCTGATTTATGGATTTTTTTTCCTACTTCTGCACTTTAGGATCACCTAGAATATTTGTGTTTTTTCACAGGTTGTTATTTAAGAGTGTTTATAGATTATAGTCCAAAAATGTCTGATATCTGCACTGCTGGCACGACTGTATGTAATGATGGTAAGACATCCAGAGCCAGCCTAGATACGAGTAGTTCATCTGTGATCTGCTATCCCTGCATGTTCATTGTGATTTGTGGAAAGTGGAAATTCTCTCCTGAAGAAGCCCAGGAGAGCACTCTGAGAATAGAAACATACAGTTCTCTGCTTTCTTCCCCCAACCACTACTTTCTGGTCAGCATAGTTCAAATAAAGCATAATTCATCTTTCAAATCTTCCACTTGCTAAAGCACATGGATGTTGTTCGCTGTTTCAAGCCACATTCCAAGTATCAGTTTTATTTTCGTTCCCTCAGAAGGTTTCCTTGGTACATTACCACAGCAGTAAAGGAAAAGTTTTGGCATTTTACAACACAACTAACTAATTTGTTGCAAGCTGTGTTTCTTGAGGAAAAACATCTTAACAGTGTGAAGATCTTGGGGAACTGGCATCATATTAAATATTGACCTTAATGAGGAGGGATTTTTTTAAGACACTGTTCCTCAATAACAAAATGCAGCTAATTATGAGAACATTCAGTTATACAGAACCCATCTTTACTATGCTGACATATAAGGTTTTTATATAGCTTTTCTGAGGATGGAAATTGTAGATTACACCTATTCCCATAGATCTACCAAGTATAAATATTGAAAGAAAGATATGACACCTGAAAAGATGAATGTTGTATAGCTTCCTTCTTTTATCATTTGGGAAGATCTGAAGTTTTAAATAGATTTCATGAGACAGAGTCTATGACTTAATGGAAAATGGGAATTTCAGGCCTGGTGAGTTTTAGAACCAGACTACTAACTTGACACTGTTTAAGGTCCTTGATTAAAATGTTTATGTGTTTAAAAACATGCTAGGTAATTGTATGAAACATGAAATTTCAGTAATCTGAGAAGATAATGTTGCTATGTAAAATATGGAGACAAAAAATGCGTTGTTACCAGCAAAATATAATTCTGTGGGAAGAGAACTAAGTTGTCATGATCCTAATTTCAAACTGTGATGTATGACTGTTAACGTTCAAAGTAAATTGCATTTGGACTGTATGGTACGGGAAAAATACGATCACTTCATTTGAAGGAGAGACTGGTTAAATAACAAGAAAAGCTTATCTGATTATTGTTCACATTAGCCATGTTAAAAACACAGAGAACAATGTAAATCTAGATATGCTAGGATAATACTTCTCACCTAAAAGTCAGGAAGCTTTTCTGCTCCCCTGAAAAAACCAAACAAGAGTTCTTCATTATTTTCCCCTCTTTCCAGCAACATTTGTTTAAACTGTGTCATTTGAGATGCAGAATAGTCTTTCTTCACTTGGAAGTTAGCTTTTTTTGGTATTCAGTCTAATGAAGTTGTATTTTGTTACTGCAATTACTTTTCCTATTGCATTTATTAGTCACTTGAGAGCAGATGGCAGGTCAGTTTAACAATTAACAGAGTTTTTAAATACCTTTGCTTACACCCGTAAGACTTCCAATATCAGACCTGCAGACAGATAAAAGTATCATCAAGTTTTAATTCTACTAATGTTATGTAACACTGGTCCTTTGGGTTTCACATGGAAACAGTTATGTGTCTTGATGCTTTGTGCTATAATAAATCCTTTATGGAGGAACAATCCTCATAAAGAAGCCAGTCTGTCCAGAGTTGTACATGCTTTTAGCATTTAGTTGCAGGCATAGGAACTGAACATGGACTTCACAAATAGAAGCTATCTAAAGCAATTAATAGAACTGGATTGTTAGTCCAAAGTGTACTCGGATAGAACTCGGATGAGCTTACCCATAGGTTGAGCAAGTTGAAAAACTTGGACTGCTCTTAAAAAGAATTATCTTGCTTACCTATTAACTTTTCCTGCTTTATGATTTCAGAAGCCAAGGAGCATATCTTCCTCATGTTATGCCAGAATTTCTGCTTGAACCTGATGATTATAAGAAATGGATTAAAGTGCAAACTGTACAGAAGGTAGGTTTGGGTTTTTTTCTGTGTTTGGTTGTTTGTTTCATTTTTTCTTCTTTTTTTTAACAAAGACCACATGCTTAGTGTCAGTCCTTTGAAGACTAATGGAACTCCTCTGTGGACCATGAGTATTCCTACTGTGGTGACTGTTTTGGATTGCATAAATTTAAGCACTTGCATGAGATGGAACAGAAATTGAAACTGACACCAACATTTAAACCCTCCTGCCCTGTTTTTTCTCTTCCATTCCTTCCGGTACCACTGATACCTCCAATTAATTTCCAACAGATATGTTTTCTTAAAGTAGAACTAATTTTACTGCTTTCTACTGATTTTACCATTTTTTAAAAAATATCCTGTGTTTTGCCTCTCTGTCCTGATTGCTGCTTTCAACTCCTGTCAATTCTGTATTTTGCTTCTTATTCCTGAGATAGTGGCAAACTGTAAATGGTTCTAATGCTGATCACTATTGCGCTATAGTAGATGTTATCAGTCATTTATGCCATTAATTCATTATTGTCCTCTTGTGAATTTGCTATGCAAACTGCTGAAATGATATTGAAAATAAATCCCATTCCTTTATCTGAAGGGTCACACAGCTGAGTTGAAAAAAGGAGATGTGAAAAACTCAGACATATTTAGCGACGAGCATCTATTCATTCTGCAGGACAGCATATTTGAGACAATAAGCAAACGAGCTTGGACAGATGTGCTACTGCAGGTATACAAGGTAAATTGTAGATACATTTACTACTTAAATTTTGAAGAACTGATAGCAACAACTTTGTTTGAACAAGATCTGTTGTATATTCAGTTTTTTTTTTTTTCCAAACAGACCTTTAAAACTAAATACATTTAAGTAGTTTATTTCTCTCTAACAAGAAAAAAAACGAGTCAAAACAGTTTCTTTTTCTTAGTGCTGAAACTTTAGTAGTGTGTTAATATGTTTCAATTCAGAAATGCTATGTTAGAACAGTCTGCATGTTGTAGGATTAAATGTTATAGAAATCTTTTCTTATAAATAAAGAAAACTCTTCTATGCTTTTTTGTTACCCTGATTAGAAACACTTTTCACTGGAAATGCTTAGTTGACTAGACATATACCCAACCATGGTATTTATTATCTTATATTACAATGGAATTTTTAAATGGGTAAGCATTTTTATAATACCTATTCCTTTTAAGATATAATGAACTTGGTCAGTATGGACTCCTCAAATTTTAGTAAATTTTACTTTTACTGGTGTTAGATAAACATTTTGGATGTCTAAATCCTGTTTTCCAAAGTAAATCTGATGCACCCACCAACGATCAGTAATATTTGCATACCTAAAAATAAATATTTACTTATTTCTATTCAAAGGGATGGAAAATAAATTAAAAATATAAGTATTATCTGGTCTTCCCAGTACAAGAAAGACATGGACATACTGGAGTGTGACTGTAGGAAAGGGTCCCAAAGATGATTTAAGAGATTGGAGCATCTGTCATACAGGGAGAGATAGAGAGAGCTGACTGAGACTGTTCAGCCAGTAGAAGAGAATGTTCAAGGGGGATCTTATCAATGTGTGTAAATACCTGATGGGAAGGTGTGAAGAAGACAGTGCCAGAATCTTCTTGGTAGTGCCCAGTGATATGGTGAGAGGCAGTAGGCACAAACTGAAATACAGGAAATCCCATTTAAACATAAGAAACCTTTGTATGCATGCACTGAGACAGATGACCCTAAGGACACATGGGAACCTGAATGTGGAAAAATGCAATCATAGTGACCAGAAAGCAAGTCATTTTGCTATTTTTTCAATTTGTTGAATTATTCATAGCTACATGACAGGCTAGCACAGAGCAAAACCTCCTCCCATATTAATAGCATGCATGTGTGGTGTTTTGTTTTGGTTTTGGTATTTTTTTTTCTTGATGAGATGAGACTCTAAAACATAGGTAACTTGAAATGGCTTGATTCAGTCAGGTATTGGATTGGGTTTACGTGGCAAGGTTTTGGTAACAAGAGGCTACAGGGGTGCCTTCTGTGAGAAGATGCCAGAAGCTGCCCCCATATATGACAGAGCCTGTGCCAGCTGGCTCCAAGACAGACCTGCTGCTGGCCAAGGCCAAGCCGTCAGCAATGCTGGTAGTGCCTCTGTGATAACATATTTAAGAAGCCATAAAACTGCTGTGCAACAGTAGCAGGAAGAGAGGAATGAGAATATGTGAGAGAAACAGCCCTGCAGACACCAAGGTCAATGAAGAAGGAGGGGGAAGAGCTGCTCCAGGTACCAGAGCAGAGATTCCCCTGCAGCCTATGGTGAAGACCATAGTGATGCAGGTTGTCCCCATACAGCCCATGGAGGCCCATGGTGGAGCAGATATCCACCCTGCAGCCCATGGAGGACCCCATGCTGGAGCAGGTGGACGCACCCAAAAGAGGCTGTGACCCTGTGGGAAGCCCGTGCTGGAGCAGGCTCCTGGCAGGACCTGCGATCCCATGAAGAGACAAGAGCCCACACTGGAGCAGGTTTGCTGGCAGGACTTGTGACCCCGTGGGGGACCCACGTTGGAGCAGTCTGCTCCTGAAAGACTGCACCCTGTGGAAGGGACCCACGCTGGAGCAGTTCATGAACTGTAGCCCATGGGAAGGACCCACATTGGAGAAGTTCATGGAGGACTATCTCCCATGGGAGGGACCCCATGCTGGAGCAGGGGAAGAGCATGAGGAGGAAAGATCAGCAGAGCCAACATGTGATGAACTGACAACAACCCCCATTCCCTGTCCCCTGTGCTGCTTTGGGGAGGAGGAGGTAGAGAAATTGGGAATGAAGTTGAGCCCAGGAGGAAAGGAGGGGTGGGGAGGTGGTGTTTTAAGACTGTTCTTATTTCTCATTATTCTACTCCAGTTTAGATTGGTAGCAAATTAAATTAGTATCCCCAAGTCGACTCTGTTTTGCCCTTAATGGTAATTACTGAGTGATCTCCCTGTTCTTATCTCAGCCAATGAACTTTTTATTGTAATTTTGTCCTGCTGTCCAGTTGAGGAGGGGGGAGTGATAGAGCAGCTTGCTGGGCACCTGGCATCCAGCCAAAGTCAACCCACCACAGGTATATTGGGAAATATACTTTAAACATTCACATGTGTACTATCAAAAGTGTCAGCTATTAAAAGTTATGCCTTTTGTTTTGACAAGGTATTATTGATGTCTAGGTAAAAGAGGTTAACTTCAATTTTGATCAAATTCAAATGCAATTTGCCACTTAAGAAAACTTCTAGTATTTCTTACAGTAACAGTTTAAAGACCTCTTCAAATGAAAATAAAAATTGAATTTTTGATAATTTCTGTAGTGTTTCATTAAATTTATTTTTTGTATTGTGCAATAAACTTTCTAGCCTTTCCAATATCTGAGAGCAAAGCATCATTATGAATTTACGCTAATGTAGGTGTAGTCTACTGCAGAAAGAATGTCTTAGATGGTGGGGAAAACCAGGTTTTCCTGGGTACATTCTTCTACTCCTTTTCTTACGCTAGAAGTAGTGGAGTAGGGTAGTGCTTCCAAATAGATCTTTCATCTCTCTGACCGTTGGTGTAGACACAAGAATGGGACAGAACACATGGTCGCTGGTGGATATGAAAAAGTTCAGGTTTAAATCAGCTTAAACCTATTGTGAAGATGTGCTCTTCATCATTCTAGTTCCATTTCTTTCTGTCCTATAATTGTTCATTTTTACAGCCTTATTACATCGCATTCATCTTCTCTGTCTTGCCTGCTAATGTCTTAGGAATTATATGTGTCTGTCTGCTTTACTTTTTTGTTGTAGCCTTATGCAGTTTGGCCAACATGGTATTCAATTCAATATAATAAAGCATAAGCAGAACTCTTTAACATGACTTTACATTGGAACTAGTCACTTAACGTTCAAAGTCCTGTTCTCTCTTCCATACCCTTTTGTTTAAACCCATTTTTGACAAGGGTGACTGTGACTGCTGTGGAACAAGGTTTATTTATTTATTTCATTAAATATGTAAAGAAAGCATCAGAACAATAAAGAAAAACAGTATATGAACTGTCAAGACAGCAAGATTGGTTTATATAAAAAATATTTATTTGTGCTAGTGTTGAAATATTCTGAAGTTCAGAGAATGTTTATCTTAAAAGCAGTTTCATTAAAATGAAAGTAGACAAGCCTTTTTGTGATTATGATAGCCTGATTTCAAGATAAGATGAAACAGAACCCTTTCTTATTCATATAGCATGCTGCAAATTTCAGAAAATGTTAAAAGAATTCATCTGTTCACCAGAGATGTTTTGTTATCCAATTTTATTTTAGAAATAAAATGCTGTTGTTAGAAATGGTTAATATTATTCTTTTTCAACTCCAATGTTATCCCATATTACTTTCATGCCCATACCTGATGCATTATGGCCCACTTACTTGTTATGAAAACTTCTGTTGCTGCAGAAGTTCCAGAGGAGAAAATAAACCCAGCTCAGAAAAGTAGGAAATGAAGTTTATTTTGACGAAAGGGTAGAACCTGTGGAGAATAAAAGGTGAAATTCATTAATCATAAAGATATACTGGTAGTTCTCTTTTTGAGCAAGAGTTAAAATACTGATGGTATTCTACAAATGTTGAAAGTCTAGGCTAGTGGAAACACATGGACACTGACAGCAGAAGTGGTAATTTAGCCCTTGGGTCAGGCCACATTTTCAATAAAGACAATTTATGTTTAAATTTAATGAGCATGTAGTAATAAGGATGCCTTTTATAGTTGTAAGTAATAACATTTCCTAACCTTGTAGCTGATTTTTTTTATAAATACAGTGTGCTCCAAAAAGCCACTGTATGCTAATGTCCTGGTCTCTCAACAGGGTCTCATTAGGAATGTAGACATGTGGGCATCTTGGATTAGGATGGATTGGACTTGTTAAGAGATAATAAAAGAATGTTTTATGAGTAAATAATGTTTCATATTTTCTTCTAAGCGTAGTTGCCATTACTCTTTCCTGTTTTGATCCTTTTGATAGAACACCAGGTTATACTAATGAAGAAACATTGCAGTAAATTAACCTGCAAAGACTGCCTTTTGAGAAAGCATGTAATAGTATATATTTGCTTGCTTTTTTTGCTGTTGTTTTCTTCAGATTTGTATCTGAGGATGCTGATACAGAGATCTGAGATTTCTTTTTCTTTAAGATAGTTCTATGCAAATCAATAAATTGCACTGGAGAGAAATACAAATATTTGTTAGCTCAGCCATCTCTGCATCGAACTAGATGGTGCTGAACTGAATGCTTTAGGGTTTGAAAAGGAATTTCAAAGGGATTTAAAGGGGTTTTTTATTGTAATTAAATATGGATGCTATAATTTGGGTCTCGTACATTAACAGTTAACTAGGTTTTGTATATTAGTATATTACAAAAGGTTTTCTTCAGAAAAACTTAAAAGCAATGGATGACAGCCCTTCATGTCATCTGGGAAAAAAAAAGAAGAAATCCAGATGTAAATGTGGAAACTGTGAAGCCACATGGCTGTAGCTGCATCATATTATATGTAAGAGTGTTCCTCTCCATCTGCATCAAATGGAGGGATTAAAAAATTTTAACACCTTGCCTCAAGAAACTGATGCTTTCTCTAATGTACCTGTTGAAATCTGGTATTGGAAACTAATACGAAGAGAAACAATTATAAAAGGGGTGCAAGCTGTTTTCATTCTGATTTGATGAAATGAAATAGCCTTTTCTTTGTGTATATATATATATCAGCGAATTAGACATCACTCACAGTGTTTAAGAGACTGAGAAACTGGGCCCAAATCAAACTTCAAAATAACATTTTACTGGATTGGCATTCATTGTCAATAGACATTGTCAATGATTAGTTGTTAGTTTTTTTTTTTTCCCCCTTCTTTTTTTCCTCCTCCAAACAATTAGTCCTTAACAAACTCATCCTAAGTTATCTGCGAATATATGACACTGTGGAGCTGATGCCATGTAGTTAGCATTTATGGCCATGGTCCTTGGTAGTCTTAGTCATTGGTCAAGGTGGTCAGGCCTGGGAGCTCTTTGATGAGGGAGGATGGAACCAAAGCTGTTGACTTCATCGTCATCCTGAAAATTAAGTTCTGTGTTCCTCCTTCAAATACCTTTTTCTATGCTGTCATTTCAGTTGGGAAAAAGAAAATTGAATGTATTGTGTAGAATTTTTACTTTTAACGTCTTTATATTTCTTATATATTTTCTATACATATGTTTATATATTTTTTTTAAATGTATATTCATGCAAGACTTAATCAAGGACCTCTGAGTAACAAGAATTTTATTGTAGACATTATAATGTTTATTTTTTCAGGAGAAACAGTCTGTAATTTGGCCTAAATAACCAACTGGGTCATGAAAGACACCATTTCAAGACTATCTATAGAATGCATTATAGATCAGTATAGTAGTTCAGTAATTAGTGCTTTAGCTAGAATATACACAGTAATTGTTGGAATCCAGATGGGTCCAGTGATTTTATCCAGTTCATCAAAACCTGGAAAAAAATTGGAAACAAAAAATATTTAGAATCATAGAATATCTCAAGTTTGAAGGGACCCATAAGGATCATTGAGTCCAACTTCCAGCTCCTCACAGGACTACCTAAAACTGGACCATATGACTAAGAGTGTCATCCAGATGTTCCTTGAACTCTGACAGGCTTGGTGCCATGACCACTTCCCTGGGGAGCTTGTTCCAGTGACCGACCACCCTCTCAGTGAAGAGCCTTTTCCTGCTGTCTAATCTGAACTTCCCCTGACACAGCTTCATTCCATTTCCTTGTGTCCTCATGCTGGTCGCCAGAGAGAGGAGATCAGCACCTCCCCCTCTACTGCCCCCCCTTGAGGAAGTTGTAGACTGTGATGAGGTCACCTCTTAGCCTTCTCTTCTCCAAGCCAAATAAGTGACCTCAGCCGCTCCTTGTAAGTCTGACCTTTCATCATCTTGGTCACCGTCCTCTAGACACACTCTAATAGTTTGATGTCCTTCTGTTGAGGTGCCCAAAACTGCACATGGTGCTCGACGTGGGACCACACCAGTGTAGTGTAGAGGGGGACAATCACCTCCCTTGACCAGCTATCTATGCTGTGCTTGATGCACCCCAGGACATGGTTGGCCCTTTTGGCTGCCAGGGCACACTGTTGACTCATGTTCAACTTGTCATCAACCCAAACCCCCAGATCTCTTTCTGCAGGGCTGCTCTCCAGCCTCTTGTCCCTGAATTTGTATGTATAACCAGGATCACCCTGTCCCAGGTGCAGAATCTGGCACTTGCTTTTGTTAAATTTCATATGGCTGATGATTGCCCAGCTCTCTAGTCTATACAGTAGATCTCTCTGTAAGGCCTCTTTACCCTTGAGGGGGTCCACAGCTCCTCCTAGTTTAGTATCATTGGCAAACTTACTTAATATACATTTGATTCCGGTGTCCAGATCATCTGTACAAACTTTAAAGGGCACTGGCCCTAAAATTGAGCCCTGGGGAACCCCACTGGTGACTAGCCACCAGCCTTGTGTAACACCATTTACTATAACGCTTTTGAGCAAATGTCAGCCAGTTGTTCACCCATTTATTATAGACTTGTCTAGCTGGACATTTTGTCCAGAAGAATACTGTGAGAAAGAGTATCAAAAGCTTTGCTAAAATCCAAAACCACCACATCTATTGGCTTCCCTTGGTCAACTGGATGGGTGACCTTGTCATAAAAGGAAATTGAGTTGGTTAAGCAGGACTTTCCTCTCATGAACCCATGCTGGCTATGACCAATGACTGTATTGTCTCTTGAGTTTTTTTCAATAACTCCCAGAATAATCTTCTCCATAAATTTACCAGGCACTGAAGTGAGACTGACAGGCCTGTTATTACCAGGGTCTTCCTTCTTACCGTTCTTGAAAATTGGGACAATATTTGCCAGTTTCCAGTTGGCTGGGACCTCTCCAGACTTCCAAGACCATTTAGAAGCTGCAGTTTGCATTTTGTTTAAGGAAGCAAAGGAATTCCCTAAAACCTCAGCAAATCTGTTCTCTTGTGTGTTATACATTTATACTAATGTGTAATCTCTTAAACCTTTTCTAAATTGGAAAACCTTTTGAGGTTTGAAGTGGTTTTTGTATCACTGAACTTGAAATTGTTCTTTTTACAGTTCGTACTTAAAACCACTTTTTCTAATTTCAGGTGTTTGTTCTTCCACGTGTTTCTTCATGTAATATCACCGATCTGTTCAGCTTGGAAAGAGTGCAGAACATGCCAAGAATAAAATCAGAACCTTTATCCAGTAATATATATTCTCCATGTGAACGAACCATACTCACCTGGTTGAATACACATTATGAGAAGAATCGAAAAATTGTGTGGAAAGATTGTCAAAAAGGTGAAATAATTCTTTCGCTATACCCTTCCTTCTCATACTCCTTTTGCAGACTTTTAAAATTGTTATTCTTAGAGATATCGTGACAACTTGCCACTGAAAGTATTTTCTGGGGAAGAAGTTATTGCCTATCCATACGTATTTCCTTTCCTTGTGTTTCTGTGTTCCAAGATCAGCATCTTTTGACTAGCACTGTTTATGAAATGTCTTCTGTGTTCTGTGTGTTCTTACAGTTTCTAACTAGGCATAAGGTGAAGTGTGGTGAACCTTCTCACTTCCTTCTTTCTATTAATGATCTCATGAAGGAAGTGCTAACAGTAATCACTTTCTCATAATTTTCCTGTCTATATTCACATGCAGTTGTTAGTATTTGTGCTTATAGTGGTGTCTTTGAGCGCTAGCTTCTCAGAATTTTTAGAATAATTGTTGTAAAGCCTTTACTCTAACGCTATTTAGAAAGGTAATGGAGACCAAGGTTCCAGATTATAAATCTTGCCCTATTTGCAAAGTCAGTTTGACGCCTCATGATCGCTTGAGTAAGGTTAGACAAAATGACCTATTCCATTTAAGACTGACGTAGGCAGTTCTGGTATTCAAACCTGATCAACTGTTCAACCAGTAGTAATTATTACTTCTATTTCCTTATATGATTTCTCCTTTTAGCTTCTTGACCCAAACTTCATTGTGTCTTTCAGCATTAATTTTGGATGGGTAGTTAACACCAAGAAAGGGCAGTCTGATGATGATCAGGGAAGAACTCCAGAAGAATGGCTTATAAGCCACATATGGAAAAGATTATCTAAAAGATTGTTATTTTTGCCTTGAGTGATTTCTGACCTGTCTGATTATGGATAATCTATGTACATATCATCTTCCCTAAGTCTTATTTGGGCATATTCTCTACCTTGTGTATGCTTTGAATATCCCATTGCTTTTCTCATTTTATCTGTATAAAAGCGAATTATACTAGATATTCTCAAATGTGTTGAATAATTCTGCTGTTAAGATTGAAAAGTCAGTCTATACCCGCAGTATCCAATAGAAATAGATTTCTAGCTGTCAACTCATAGTTTGGGTCTGATCTTATGATTAACTCAGGGAGCTTCCCTAGCTAAAATAACATGCCCTACAGTAAGTAGGTGTATTTGCAATGTATTATTTTCTTATTATATGTGTCTATGCCTGCTTTAGTGGAGCTGTCTTATAGTTGTAAGCACTCTGTTCTGCTGGGTGTTATCAGAGTCCTGTGTGTATAGACGACAACTTGCAGAGAGAATGGCTAGCTACCTGGGCAGTGTTGTGGCTCACCATATATGCTGCATGTATATATTCCTCAACCCCACTGTCTGTTATCTTTATTGTAGATTTTAGTAATACCTAGATGTTGAGGCATGGCTAACCTTGTTCCGGCCTGTGGGATCTCAGTAGGAAGAATATGAACGTCAAAATGCATCTTATTTAACATTAAACTTTCACTTGAGTTATAATGTCTAAAGATGAGTAGAGTGAATCTGAACCATAAAGTGCAGATCTAGTGGACACTACTGGGCAAAACCCCCCAAATGTCTCGGTCCAAGTGGAATACCTGCTGATGATGCATCTTAAGGAACCAGTTATTGAAAGTGGTGTTTTAGTTGCCTAAGAGTATGTAATAAATTAGAATATTAAACTGAGTTTGTTTTTTTAATGAATTGACATGTAGTTATCAGCAACTGTAAAGTAGGTTTTTTACAGTTATTTAGTTCTAAAGGCTCCTCAAAGTTGGCCCCCAAAAGGAACATTTTAATTACAATATTGGGTTTCTCAGAAAATAATAATAACTTCTATTAAATCATGCTAATAGGACAGATAACTCAGTAGGTTAATGTATTCATTTGTGCAGACCTGGTTGCAGATTTGGCTCTGGGTCACATGTAAAGATGAATTTTGTGGTTATCACCAGGGAACATTTATCTGCATTACAGTTCTCTCCTACAATTTCACTTAATTATACTTTTCTGCTTTCAGAGAAGTGCAAGATTGGAATGAGAAGGCAGAGGTTACATATGCTTTCTCTGTGTGGGAAGTTACAGATACTGCCTTGCTATATTGACTTGTATATAGCTTTTTTGGTTCATGAGTTCTATCTTCTGTTTGCTAGAGGGCAACAGAAATAGCTTGGTGTATGCACATGAGCATGCCCTTTTCCTTTGCTTCTATTTCCATTTCTGTCACAAAACTACATAAATGAGAATTACTAAAGTTACAGTAATTAAAAAGAAAGAATTTTTTGACAAATTATGAAATTCATGGTCTTACTCTTATACCTCTGCATTATAAAGTTCTTAACTGTGTGATCTTGTACCGTTCTCTTCCACAGATGACCTGCCTCAATATCTCTTTGAATCCTCTGTTTTAGCCTTCACTTTCCTTTTACTTTTTTTACTTTTACTGCCTCAAAATGAATTGGTGTCTGCTACTGTGCTGTTCTTTCTGCTAAAAGGGGCAGAGGATCTGATGACAAAGGACACAGAAAAGACTGAGGTATTCAATGCCTTTGCCTTGGTCTTTACGGGTAAGCCTGGCACTGAGCAATCCCAGGCCCTTGAGATGAGTGGGAAAATCTGAAGCAAGGAAGACTTAGTCTTGGTGGAGGAGGATCAGATTAGGGAGCACTTAAAAAAATTGGACAAATGCAAGTCAATGGGACCCGATGGGATTCATCAGCAAGTGCTGAGGGAGCTGGCCAATGTCATTGTGAGGTCACACTCAGTAATCTTGGAAAGGTCAGGACAATAGGGGGGAAGTTTGGAAGAGGTTTGGAAGAAAGCAAATGTCATTCCTATCTGGAAGAAGGAGGATCTGGGGAGCTACAGGCCAGTCAGCCTCATCTTGCTTCTTGGGATGGTGATGGAGTAAATAGTCTTGGAAACCATTTCCAAACATATGAAGGACACAAAATTGTTTGGGAGTAGTCAGCATGAATTTACAAAGGGGAAATAATGCTTGACCAACGTGATTGCCTTCCACAATGACAAGACTAGCTCAGTGGACAGGTGGAGAGCAGTGGATGTTGTTTATCTCAACTTTGGCAAGGCTTTCAACAGCCTCCCATAACATCCTCATAAACAAAGTGATGAAGTACAGGCTAGATAAGAGGACAGTGAGGTGGACTGAAATTAGACTGAACTACCAGGCTCAAAGGGTTATGGTCAGTGGCACAAAGTCCAGCTGGAGGCCAGTCATCAGTAATGTACCTCAGGGGTCATTAGACTGAATTTGTTTTTTAAGATTGTACACTGGAAAAGAACTTATATATCTCAGCAGATTTAATATATAGTTGGTCCCTTAAATTTTATGATGTTAAGGTTAATCATCAAATTTATACTTAGATATTGTGACATTTTAATCATGTTAGCCTTAAATTAAGCTTTTAAATGGGCTTTTTCAGTGGAACAGTTAAAAGAGTAATAAGGAAAAACATCAGTCAAAGTATAGTAAATGTTCATACAAACCCCACTTAAAGTCCCAAATAGCCTCAATTTTGTATGAGTTTTTGTTGTCATTGCTTGCTTCATATCACTAATTTTAAGAGGATTAGTTCTTTTATTCTTGCTACAGTCCAGATCAGAGACCAATTACCACCTTTTGCTTAACATTTATGCGCCCGCATATTATCATCCGAACACTCTGCTTTGAATAAAAAATTAGCCCTGACTAGCAGTATGTCTGGACCATGGAGCTGCTTTCAGCTCAAAATAGTTTGTTGGGTGATCCATCCCTACTAAATAAATGAAGATCTATCCAGGACACATTTCTCAGTCTTTCCTTTGAAACCTGAGCTACTTAAAGTGAAGTGTGACAGTGAGCCAAGCCTAAGCTACTGCAGTGCAGAAAGGTTTTAAATATACAACTTTATTACTTCCTTGTTGAAGATAACTATGTCATTCATCAGAACTCTTCTCCTGCAAGAATTAAGATCTCAGTAGCTTAGAGAGAACATTAGTAAGGAGTTTACTATCTCCACATCTTCTGCCCTTACTGCTACTAAAAATTAAATATGTTTTAAAAGCAGCTTGGTATATGTTTTGGGAGGGCAGGCTTATAATATGTCTTATTGACCATAAAATGGAAAGCAATGTTGAAACTTGAGGCCAAATGCTGTAAAACTGCAAAATGCAACTTTGCCTATTCTGCTGAGACCTTAATTATACATGAAATATAAGCTTCAGTGCTCACTTTCAATATTATATGGGCAATAGTAATGATAGGAGAGGAAGCATGAATTATTTGACTGTAATAAATTTTGTTTACCTTCTACCATTCCTTATCTTTGTATTTCTTTTCAACATTTCTCTCTGAAAGACTAACTACTAATAGTATGAAAAAATAAGTGTCAGGAAAAACCCTTAAAAAGTTGCTAGAGTATTGGAATGCCATAATTCAAAACCTGTACTTCCTAAACAGAAGAAAATTTTGCAAATTAGTGAGTTAAATTGCCACATAAGAATCTGTATGTCTCTTCCTTATTAATTATGATTGTTGCCATGGTGAAAAAGATAAATTATCTTTTGGGAAATAAGGGATTTTCTTGAACATATCCCAGGAAGATCTTGAAAAGAGTAGGTAATTCTGCATTTAATATCATTTTTTTTTTTATAAAATCTGCTTAGAATGGAAATTCTGCTTAAGAGGAAATAGAAGTGCTAATCTAGTGCCACTGTAGGTTTGTATGACAATGTTGGGCATAGTAACATCTCTCAAGATTCTTACTCTCAAGTAGGAAAATTTTGGGTTTGATGCATTTTATTCACTTCACTGTAGGTGAGGTGGGTTTTTTACTGTTTTTTATTTTTATTTTTTGAATTTTCGTATCAGTTTAACATGGCATCTGCAGTAAAAAATTTGAAGGAGAGATTTTAGTGTGAGATGACATGTCTTCACAAAACTGTATGAGAATTAAGTAGAACTCTTGTTTGTTTTAAAACTGATTCTCTAGAACTTTTACTTAAGGTTGTTTCTAGTATAGCAATTAAAAAGCACACTCTTTTCTTTTCCTTGGTTTCATGAATTTTTCTCCCCTTTCATCTCTCCCCTCTCTCCCCTCTCTCCCCTCTCTCCCCTCTCTCCCCTCTCTCCCCTCTCTCTCCTCCTCTCCCCAGTTTTTAGGAAGAGTATTTATGGAGTCCCTTAATACTTGCTTCTCAATTCGATAGTTCTTAAAGACAATTGAGAAACAAGAGCTGAAGGATATTTGTTCTCTTTGAAGGGTAGAAGGGAAGAATCTTATGTAAATTCATATAAGATTTCTTTCAGTTAAAATCACTACAAAACATGCTTTTCCCAAAGAAAGAGTCTTGCTTTTTGCACACTTGATAAGAAGCTGAATTAAAGAAGGGGAAGTGACTATCTAATGAACTGCCATCATGAGTATCATGCCTGCCTTCCAACAAAATATTATGAGAGAACATTGTTCTTGAGTGATAAGTCCTGCAAATTACTTCCTGAAATATAAATTAGCAAAGATTTTAACCATTTGTCTGTGTTATATTTCATTATTTGCACATCAGAACATAAGAATGAAACATAAAATGTAAATGTGAGTCCAATAAGTAGGCTTTTCTGTTCTGCTCACCTTTCTTAGTCAACCGGAATACTCCACATTTAAGAATTCATCATATCTAGTTCCCTATAGCTGAAAAACCCACAGGATCATATCAGGATTTTATTTGACAGAAAAGAGAAAAAGAATTATTTTCCTGAGTTTTAAGCTCAAATGCAGTTGAGAAATAAGCAAAACTCCATGTTTAATTTACCTTTTCAGACTTTGGAGTAGTATAAAAATATTTATTCTGTACAGTTTATACTGGCTGGCATTATGCAGCTTCAGGGAAATAAAAGAATGAAGAAGGAAAGTCCTTGGAGCCCTATATTGAAAAGATTCAAAGTGTTCATATTTGGAAAACTGTTAAAAAGATCTTTCAAGAAAAAAAGCCCTAACTCTTAAGGCTGCATATATTTGTGTATATATTTGTGTGTATACATATATGCATTCCTATATATGTGTGTGTAGACATGTATGCTTATATATAAAAATGTGTATGTGTATATACATGTATGTTGATCCTCAGAAACATAAATGACCTAAACAGGAATAATTGGGTAAATATTTAGGAAGAAATTTTGTTTCCTTACTTGCAATACACTTTGAGATGCCTGGATGGCTATTCTGCTTTCAGCTAAACAAGGCACTTTGCACCCTTTGTATATTATTTGGCATAAATAAGCTTTCTGTTTATTTGTGGAATTAATGCTACTTCTGCAGTGTGTACCAAATATGTAGATTGAGTATGGTATAGCTGTGGATTTAGTAATACACCTTCAGATATTTTGTGAGGAGAAAACATGTTTCAGACTATGGAGATGGAAAAAGGTTCTGTTAATTAATTGTAAGTATCAAACAGTGAATTTAATTTAGACCAGTATTTAACTTTTTTTTTTTTTTTTGACTAAATAAGATGATGCAGGGATTATAGTATTCATTCTGAAGCCAGTATAGAAGCCAGGTATACTGTAATGAATTGCTGTGATTTACTGAATTTTAAATCAAAGCGATCTATACGTGAAATGCCATGATAAAAAAAAAAAATAGTTTCGAAGGTGACATTTTAATCTAGAGGCTTTTAGACCATTCAGTGATTTTAAAACTTCTCTTCACAAATGGAAACTTTCTGTTGAAAAGCAACAAAATGGAGACTGATATAAGGTAACACTATTCTTATGTGATGCATAAAAACCTAAGGAATTTGTCAATTTAAGATGATATTTGGGATAAAAATCAGCAAAAATAAACCAGAACTGTGTAGATAGTGAGACAATTGGAAATTTTTATTAGGAGCAGAAATGTTCATGCCTCAGGCTAAAATCCTTCTGCAACAGATGGGAATAAATGAGACATATCCCCAGTACATCCGTTTTTCTGTCATTGTCCCATGTGGTGCTTCTTGAACTTTTCTGCTTAGAATTATTATGAATTGTCAGTGGTATTAAATCGATCTGTCACTGATATTTCAGGAGTTCTTAGAAGAATAATTACCGGTTTCAATGAGCAAGGGTAGTAGCAACCTTCCTGAAGTAGGAACGGTAATTTGCCTACGAGTCTCTAATAAAAGGCTTCTTGTTTTCCATGTTAAGATAAATGTAGCCTCACATGCTGTATGTACTGAAGGTAGATACTTTATAATTTGCTTAATCCTAAATACATTTTAGGAAAAACTTAATGGCCTTTTAAAAAAATATTCAAAGGCATATTTACTCTCACCTTTCTTATGCTCTGTATTGTATACTTCAGTACCATCATTTTAAACCTTGTCCTGGTTCTAATGACAGCACTTACAGGAAAGGTTATTGCTACATATTTCTTCTGTAAATGTTTGTATTATTCAGTGCCAGATATAAGCTATTGAAACAGGACTATAGGCATTATTATAGCTATAGATTAGTTCCACCTCCAGAGATTTTCAGATCCCAGAATAGGAAGTTGTTATATATTATAAACCATTATTACTGCAGTAA